TACAAAGCTAATACATAATTTGTAATTTGTATGTATGTGTGAGTGTAGTTGTGTGTGTGTGTGTATATCAATTACTTAATATTTTTTTCTTTTATAGTCGTATCTCCAAACAGTTCTTTCATGTCAGTCCTCCTCAAGAACACGGTGACTGTAACAATCGCTCCGGCCGTCACTACAGTTGGGTTTTCATCGTCGATAACTATAACAAATAAAAATAATAAAATATAACAGTTAGGCAACAACAAATATATATATATATATAAATATAGCCTGAAAGCTTGTTTAATAACACTTGATCATAGAATTTAGATTTGGTTAATATATAGTATGTAAAAAAACTTATACAAACCTTCAGTGTTAACTTGGAAATGTATATAAGGCATGTTGCCCAATACTTTCATCAGATCCTCATACTGGGAATCGTTCAAGAACCTCAGCAGCTGTCGTCTCTCATCGCTAGGTAGCTGTGCCAGTTGTAACAAGGACTTAATGTGTTTCTTCCTGTTAGTGAAGTATTTGAAATGTTCCTCAGTTATGTATGGCAATTGTAGTAGAGGAGACTTGTTCTCCCACAGCCCTTGAACGATCATCGGAGACATCTTCATACAATTCTCAATAGTCTCTATTGTTGGTAGACGTGGAACTGGAACAAAAATATTAAAATTATAACTATTATTTCATATACAAGTTTTTATAACTTTTAAAACAATTTCTATATATTATACATGAATTAAACATAAAATAATTATTGTAATAGCAATGTCATTTAATTTTACGATAAATATACAATGCAATAAAACCAACCCTACTTCCTACTAATATTATAACTGCGAAAGTTTGTGAGTGTGTGTGTATGTTTGTTACTTCTTTAAGCTCAAACGGCTGAACCGATTTTGATAAATTTTTCTATACAGGAAGCTGACGTCCAGGAACAACACATAGGCTATTTTACAAACCGGAAATCCCAGAAATTCCGGAAATCCGAGGGTAACACCGCGGGGCGCAGCTAGTGATAGTATAAAACAAAAAAAAAACTTAAAAATGTATATATATTGTGTGAATTACTAATTGAACTCACTCCGTCTCGCATAAGCCAGAGCGATGAGTTGATTGACACAATTCACCATTTCCACAATGAGATCAGGGCATCGAGACACAACGTAACGTCTGTCGACTTCGAGAGTGTCCTTTGGTAGGGGTATACGTGATAGATGAGCGTGTAACAATGCACGTGCTTTAATACTGTAAGGACGACATAGAGGCTGCTCCTTATTTTTCTCGCCCAGATTTTTTAGATCCCGCAGTAACTGAAATATTTACATATTAATAGAATCCTATGTTGATAAAATGCTAATATAATATTTCAGATAATATATAAAGCTTTAATTAAGCCAAGTTTTTGTCCATAGATTTAACACAAAGCACTAAACTCAAGACATATAAATATATTTTTTTCAATACTAGAGAATTTTATAACTACAATAGTATTAATGAAAAGAATATGTTATAACTTTTTTTGTATGAGGTCAAAAATTATATTTAGTTGTGAATTTCTGAGATGATTATTGAAGAACAGATAATGGATATCCTTTATTATTAAACTAGCTTTTGCCGCGACTTCGTCCGCGTGGAATAGTGACTTCCGGCAGATTTTTGGTTCTTCCCACATAGTTCCCGTTCTTGAGGGGTTTTCGGAATGGTCGAGTTCCCGTAGAATTTTCAGGACAAAACCCTTTTTTTTATTCACAATGAAGTACTCTTAACCAACAACATATTTATTTGTTTATTTGAATAAAGATTAATATTATTATGTTGATACAACTTAAACAAATTATTTCGACCAAATTAGGTACCATAAAAACGGTTTTTGTGAGTTAATCTTAAAAGATAGATATATACTGTCGCGGACTGTTTTTTAGATCATTAAAAGAGCTATTATTCTTAATACATATTTTTTATGTATCTTGAACCGTTTTCACGGCGCACGCAACGGAAGGCTTCAAAGATGAAATAATTTCTCCCGTTTTTTACACATTTACCACTATATCTTTGCTCCTATTGGTCGTAGCGTGATGTTATATAGCCCACAGCCTTTTTCGATAACTGGACTATCCAACAAAAAAAGAATTATTCAATTCGAACCAGTAGTTTCGGAGATTAGCGCTTTCAAACAAACAAACTCTTCAGCTTTATAATATTAGTATAGATAAATTTGACTTCAAACAATTGGTTTTCCCAATAGCAGTTTGTACCTCTTAGAATAACATTAATATGAAGTATGTAGTTTACATTGTCCTAAATTTTATTGATTACTTATCTCATCTTTATTATCTATATTCTGCTCAGAAAATGTCATACAATTCTTGTACAATGATGGAATTTTTAGTAATTAATTATGAATCATTATATTAATTGTATTTTATTCAATCTCTTGATATGCTTGTAACTCCTCCGAAACGGCTGGACCGATTTTGATGAAATTTGATGAGCATATTGAGTAGGTCTGAGAATTGGCCAACATCTATTTTTCATACCCCTTTTTTTTGGGGAGAAATCCGCTTACAGGTCTTTTTTTCATTTTTCATACCCCTAAGTCTTAAGGGTTGTTCATCCTTAATTTTTTTTTTAATATGGTAAAACAACGTTTGCCGGGTCAGTTATGTATAAAACTGCATGTTAATTGCTCTTTACTTACACTAGGTACTTCCTCATTATCAGTTATTCTTTCAATAATTTCAGAGTTATGCCTCTTATCAAATTCACAAGATGCGGCCAAAATCATTAGAGCTCTCTTTAGAGGCATTGACGGTGTTTTGTGGCAGAAATAGAAATACATTTGTGTTGTATCCAATAGAACTTGTTCTCCCGAAAATCTTATCGAACGGTACCACCAAGTACCAACCTAAAAGAAAACAAAAATTATTAGACTAGTTTTGTTATGTTGGTAATTATGTTTTATATCTCCAACAAAAATTTGTATTATTTCATAGATGATTTGAAATTTTATTTAATTTAATATCTGGATATTAGCTATATTTTCGTATCAAATTTATTATGTTTTACATAACCCAGCAGTTACAGTTGATCTAATATCAAGTGTTTACATAACAAAAAAAATAAACCATTTTACGCTTAGCAACAAAATGCTGATTTAAAAGTCAGTCTTGAGGTGCTATAAATAAGAGTTATTTTCCAAATAAAATATTATTTTTTATATATTATTATCTTACCGCTGTCGGCAAAGCAACCATGAAAACCAAAGCATATAGTCCAAGCACCCACACACTGTTCTCCTTCTCTACAATCCAACTCGGCAGAGCTATACCAAAACTCATTGCACCAGGACCATCTGGGTTCCCGTATTTCTCCCAATTTTTCTTTGCTTCTTCATCTGTTAAAGCCTGCAAAATTATATTATAATTTTATGATTATATAGTATACAAAACAAATACAGATTTATTCTAAAGATCAATATTATCTGCTTTACCTGATAGGCTTTTGTTAACCTCATGAAAGCCTTCTCGTCTCCGGTCTCTTTATCTGGATGCAAGATCAAAGATTGTTTGCGATATGACTTCTTAATTTCAGCCTGGGTCGCTCCCGGGGGTAGACCCAATATTTCATATGGATCGAAATTTGACATCTCATAATCAAACTGAGACACTTTCATAGCAAGGAACCCAAGTAGAACCCATCCTGATATTATCGCCAGCATTATGAAGAAGTTTTTAACCTTTTTGTACGGCTGTGACTGTTCCAAGATTAACTGTTTCTCTTTGCAATTTGGACACTGACATCTTTCTGCCTGTTTTGTTGGATCTAAAATTGTAAAAAAATTATACCAATTTAGTTTTCTCTATTTGATATTCAATAAAACGTGCTATAATACGTCAAAATTATATCGTGTGTCATCAATTATTTCGTGAACAGAATAAATTATTTGAATAATGATAAAAAATGATTTTACAGTTACAACAAACTAAAATTCTATTTATATTTGGCTCTCTGAGATTAATCGTATTTTGTCATAAAGGGTAAAATATTTTTGTTCAAATCTATACTTAAAATTTTACCTTCTTTCCTTTTTCTCGGCCAATAATAAAATGTCGCCGGCACCAATATCAGAGCGAGGAATGATAACACGAAATAAAAGAATGTAGAACCACTTTCATCATATTCAAACTTTTGTCCACCCATAGTTATTAATTTACATTATTCGATTTAATCCGAAAAATATGTACCGCGTTATAACACTGTACAATCAACGAGCGTATAGCGATACAACCTGACGTGTCATATACTAATACGTCGATCCTTTACTAGTCTGCCCAGTGTGCGTGTCAATCACACATTGAAATTAAAATTTTATGAATTTTAAGTATTTTATATAAAATAAATTTTGGTAATAGCAATCTATTAACATTGTAAAAAACATGGTCATCACCAAATTAACTATTATCATCTTCAATGTTTATTAGCATGAAATAATGGTATTTAAGAAAGGGATATTTTATTTAAAATCATATCTATTTTAGATATGCTCTAAATGCTGCAAAAACAGGTTTCAGTTCTAAAATTCTTTAGGTTGACCTAAAATATTTAGGTAACAAGGAACCTACTGTTAAACAATGTCAAAAGCCATTTGTCAATTGTCATAAGTTGCAATGAAAGGTGCTTATGACTGAATGTGAATATGACATATATGTCAAACGTAAAAAAATAATTTTAGTCGTAGGTCATGAAAATGGGATTATAAAAAAAAGATAATTAAAAGGTACGTACAGCAATATAATAAGTATATATTTTTTTCCAGTACACGTTATAATATGGAAGAATGTGTTTGATTTGAAGTTTATGAAAATTGTGCTATATTACAGAGTTTAACCACAAAAAATAACATAAAAAAGTCAATATCTTTGTTAATAATTATTTTAATCAATTGCAACTGAAGTAAAGCAGACTGTTTTACTTGTATAAACAGCGTATTCTGTGTTTTCCAGATGTCTACTAAAACAATAGCTAGTGCGACTGTTAGGGCAGTTAAAAAGCGTCTGTTACCATCAAGAGCAGCGCTAGTTTTGACTTCTGCCGCTGTAAATAAAGTAAAAGAAATAATGGCCAAGGAAGAAGGTAAAGGTTATATAGGATTGAAAGTTGGTGTGCGGCAAAGAGGTTGCAATGGATTGTCATATACCTTAGATTATGCAACAACAAAAGGGAAACTTGACGAAGAAGTAAAACAGGATGGGGTCACTATAATTATTGACAAGAAAGCGCAGCTGACCTTGTTGGGTGTGTATTTTTATTTTATTACATGATATTAAAATGAAAGTTATGATCAACAGAATTAATTTTATACAAGATATATTATGTCCAAATATAATAAGTTATATTTTCAAGGATCTGAAATTATTTGCACTCATTAATTTTTATTTCATCAAATAAATTATCTTCAAAGTATTTGTCTACAGCAATATAAATAATAATTGAGATTATGTGAATAGAAAAATATGTTTAACTGTATAAATGGATAATATGGTAGAAAGTATATCAATTTCTTTTCTCATGTATCTCAGTTAAATGAAACATTCCAGAATTATCATTAATTCATTCTTAGATTGTACTCCGAAAGGCAGTCCTTGTATTTCAAATTTCATAACACAGTGAGAGGAGCTTTGACGGTGAAGGTGGTGAACATTTAATGTGTGTTAGATAGGGATCCTATAACCTACATCTGGGTTGCAATTCCCAGGCACTGGTCAAGCTTCTCTTCCTGTAATAGGATAGACCTGTCTATCCATTGAATCCATTAAATGTTAAGAAGTTTTCATCTCAAAATATTTCATATAAAACCACACTTTAAATTTTCACTGATGAAATATGTATTTGTTTTCTAGGTACTGAAATGGATTTCGTCGAGGATAAGTTGTCAGCGGAATTTGTGTTTAATAATCCAAATATTAAAGGCACCTGTGGATGCGGAGAATCTTTCAGTATATAAAATAAATGTATTAGTTAATATTTTTGTGCCGGTACCCTTTTATGACGTAATTTGCACAAGTAAATGCCTATTAATCTACCATTCTAATGGGCAAGTGAATTTATATTTGTTTAATTGCTTTCAAAAAAGGGTATAACTGTAAATATTGTTTATTATTTTTATGTATGCAAATTTATTTGTATAGCTAGTGATAATATGAATCTAGAATACTTATTAGTTGAATAAAATTCTATCATGTGTTTGTTTTCGAAATTCTCCTACCCCAGGTTTTTAAATATATAAAACGTACTTAGGATTTCCAATGACTTTTCTGTTAATATTTTGCGGAAAATCAAATAGGCAAAAAGTTTTCAAAGTACAGTTATGTGCTATAAATTGGCTGAAGCCAGTATTTATAGTTTTTAAATACAAGTTCATACTTAAATGTTATCATTACAAGATTACAAAGGTTCAGTATTATAATTAATTATAATCAGACATAAAAATTATTCTGAAGATTGTTGTATATTATAATAAGTACAGCGCGGATGGCGCCTTTTGTAACACAACGCACGGGCCGTATTTTAAACATGGGGGTCTAAGTAATATGGTTTTTCTGTATATTCTATATAATGTAAACAGAACAAAGGAATCTCGCTATGACTCCAGACCCCGCCCCAATATTATTATCTCACTTCTATATTCGAACAATGGCGAAATAGATATTTTTGGCTGTCTTGGGTAACCTAATATTGGAAGTCAAGCTAAAATAGAGAAATATAACTTATACCCTAATTCAATTGAACATTACCTTTATAGTCTTCAAACATTAATATGAAGATATATTTATCTTGGTTTATATGCTTTGCATTTTCTATTGTAGATAAATGTTTAGTGTACCTACAAATTATTGGGAAGTTATAAAATTCGTTAATTTAATAGTATCGTTTGGAAATATCTATCAAGAATTAATACATTAAATAATTTTTGAGATGTGGAATATTTTTCTTTATTTTTAATAAATACAAACAATAGGTGAACGTTCCAAATGCAACCTCTACATAAATTCAGCTTCGCTGTTGGTCTGGTATCAGCTGTCGGAGGGGGGATGTAAACATAATGATAGTTAAACATTTAAGAATATAGATGGCACTTGTTTAGCAACAAACATGTGGGTGGTCCATTTCGTTGTTACTTGAGTTTTGACCCTGGATAGATAGATAGTTTGACTTTTCATTATTTACTTTTTACCTACAATTGGCACGGATTGACAGTTGACTGGATCTGATCTTTTTGATCTGATCTAGCTTATCATTGGATTTTAGAGATTTAGATGAAAAATTCGTAAAAGTTATTTTTCTTTGCCTAAGAATTCGTAAACGTAGTATTAATAATAAATTATTATTAATAAATAATACATATTTATTAAAATGTACGGAACCATTTTTCCATTCGACCTCCTTATTTTTTAAACCTGACTTTGAACATCTCTATAAATAATAGTGACCAACATTTCAAATGAAACAAAACAAAATCATATAAAGATGTTATTAATTTAATATTTTCGCAATCTTACTTATATGTTTTAACTTTAAAAAAAAAAAGCAACGGTAAACCTGAAGTTCAAAAAATAAATAATCATTATAATACATATATTCCAAATTTTACTTTACCTTTACTATAGCTTAATATATAATAATATACAGTGTAAACTCCATATAACGACACTCGATTTAACGACAAACTCTCTAAAGCGTCGAAATCATTTCACTTTGGTTGGTTTAGCTTGTCTACCATACAATGATACACTCTATATAGCGTCACAGCCACTCTCAATAACGACAACATTAAGTAATAAAAAGTACCTTTTAAGTTGCTAAAATTAGTAAAAAATGCGCAGCTGTGTACGTTTTTTTGTCGCTTTGTTATCCTAGCCCGCAATAAACTCCACTGTCGTAATCATGCATACCAAACTTTCTAAGAAATTCGTTCTTCACCAATATGCCTCAATATCGCAAGATATGAATAAAGTACGTAAAAAAATACAACAACATTACTGGTGCAGCAAAACACGTCAAACAAAAACAACAGACTTTATAACATTCTTTTTTATGTACATAAGTACTAACAGTAGTCTGAAACAAACTTTGTCTTTTTCTAATTCTGATTTTTCTTCCCTCTATTTAACGGCAACTCTCTATAACGCACTAAAATGCACGGTCCCTTCAGTGTCGTTATATAGAGTTTACACTGTATCTGTCATCAAACAGTTTTTACTACATCTGTAATTAAATGTGAATAATTTATTCGTGAGGCTGATTTTCCCTCATTTTCAAGAGTCTTATTCGACGCGAAAAGGGTGCACAGAAGGCTTCTCTTTTTGATGATGATTATTATACTATTATTATACGCTATTTTGGAGAAATGTATGCGTTTTCGTGCCACCGCCGCTGCCGCTCCGCTGCCCGCAAAATTCGAGGCCGAGGCCTTACGGTGGCTCATTTGGGAAAATATACATGTATTGGATGTCAATTTAAGTTGGTGAAAGAATAAAATCAACCTGCATTTTTTTTTAATTTATTAAAAAACTTTTTTCAATGTATTAAACAGAGTGAATATTAAATTATTTTTTTCCGTCCGTCAGCTAAAAACAGTAATACATAAATACAACAACTAAAACAAGTCTCAATAAGTGAATAAGATTAAGACATCTATCAAGATGTTTATTGTAAAATTAATATAGAATAAAAAATATCATTATTAATATTAAAAAACAATCTAAAATTCAAAGTTCAATAAGTTAATGTTTTTTTTTTGAACTGATGAAAATCCTTGAAACGGGTTGGTTATTTGAGTTTTTTGTTCAGCAAACGTTGTATGTGATGTACTACACTCCTTGTTAACATTTTTTAAAATTATTTGTAATGATTTTTGACGTCGACGATTCTAGAATACCTGTTTGTGTCTCAGCATCACATTTGTTACTGCTTACATGACGTTTACAAATAAATGTTTGTGATGATACATCGGAGGTAAAATATATATTCGCTTCACAGTCTTGATCCACCGTTTGATTCATGGATGTATAAGGTTGATCAGTTATTTCAGACGGTACTATAATACTTATCGCCGGATATATCTCAGCCGTTGACTTTTTTATTCTTCTCCTGTTCATGAAGCGTTTAAGTAAATAAATTACGACATTATAAATAAAAATAAATTAAATAAAACAGGTATTCCTAAATTATTGACTATATCAAATAATATGTCTAAATTTTTTTGTCCATTATTTCTATTAATCTAAATATTTTAATCAAAACTTTCATATTTTTCTCTACTAATGATTTCACAATATCATTTCCAATTGTAAATTTTAAATTAAAAACAAATATTTAATGCAAATAGCATTCCAATTGTAATTAGGGTATTGAATTTAGCAGTTTTCCCAATATTTCAGTAAAACGATTGGAAATTGTCTTCTTGTCAAGAAATAATTATAGAAAAAGAGAGCATAATTTTGTAGTTAATAAATTTTATTACCTATATTAGAACACTATGGCCTGTTAAAAATATATCTGAACGCACCTCTATCTACCATTTCACTCTGGACAGAACTAGCACGTAGGTAGATAATAAAATATAATTTTATCTCGCTCCCACGAATATCATGGAGGTAACTTTGTGAAATCGTTGTTGTAGTATTCGTCTTTGTTTACGTGTCGAAATCAGCGAACGAATAGTTCTTTTATACTTAGTGTGTGTCGCTGCAGTATATGGAATTGTTGGGAAGATATATTCGTGTCAAAATTGTTAAAAGAACTATAATCGTGCATATCATTTGAAATGAACAACGGGGACGTCGGAGGCTCTAGAGGCAGAGGCCGTGGTTGGAATTCCGACAACCAACCTCGCGAATTACGCCGGCCCAAAAATGTAACCGAGGAAGTGAAAGGTATGATTCCATCTAGAAAACTTGTTAATAGCTTTAAAAAAAAAAATGTAGGGCAGGATACCTCCTTTGTTCGTTACGACGCACAATGTTTAGGTGAAAGTTGTTAGGGTTTTTAATTTTGGTGACGTCGGCGTGGTTTGACAGAAAGCAACCGGCCGTTCCATGAAATAATTATATATGTAAATTATTGCTAATGTATGTTACTAAAATATTTGAATAACGAAATGGATTTATTACGTACTAAAGGTATTTTTTTAATTTATTCCTTTTGGAAACTCCAACTCGTAATGGAATAATGTTCTTTTGAATTCTTAAATAAATTCTATTTTTCTTCAGAACCTCCAAAGTCAATACTGTCGGCTGAAGCGAAAGAATGGTATCCACGGAACTACGTGCCTCAGAATCAAGTGTCGTATGGTCAGGAGCATTACCGAGTACCTCGATACTCGGCTCAAGATAGAATTCGACAGGCTCAAGAACAAGACCCATACAACTTCGAAGATATGTCATATTCTTTGGATGAACCCGAAAGTGCCTTGCGGGTATGTACTTAATAACTTATCAAAATTACTTTATTAGATTGCAATATCTATGATTGATTAACATGTTTTTGTATTACTATAAATATTTGTTATTTTAATTCTAGACCTGAAAACAGTATAATTAATTTTATCTTATTATTTGCTTATCTGCGGCTATATAAATTGATCAATAATTTTATATGGGATCAATTTATTTTGTATATAATCTGATAATGCAAATCATATGTAGTTAAAATTCTGATAGAATGGTTATTTTTTTCTTATAGGAAAATATAGCGAACCTGATTACTGTTATGTGCGAGATAACATTTGACCCCGGCAAGTTTGACACTCTCTGTGGACCTTTGGTAGATTCGTTTTATGCAACTCTACACGATGCTAACTACACCAGGCCTCTCGTCGAAGCTATTGTGAATCAGGTGAAATTTACATCCTTAATAAATGTAATAAAATTAATAAACATTATGATATATTATTTTATTTATGTTATTACTTGTTTAATTATAGAATAGAGGTCTATAGAGATCATTAATATTGTAAATATTGATAAATGCTCATGTTTATTCACAAATATGTTACATATGTAATAATATTGCAACATAACTATTCTTTATGTAATTCACAGTCAATATTCGAGGCGAACTTCCGTTATAATGGTGCTCGTCTTTGCTCGATGTACGATTCCGTTTCGCCTCCCGAAGACTCGACATTCCGAGCCTGTCTGTTGGAACGTTGTACTGCCGAGGAGAACAAAATCATCAGCGGAGCAGAGACATCGGAAGAAAATGTCAGAGGTTTTGCTATGTTCTTAGCTGAGATATACACTCAGCTAGAAGACAATCAGGTTTGAATGCATTTATTACATTTAAATGTATATAAATCATTCATAAGTATATTATCATTGAATGAACTTTAATATTAATATAATGTTTGTGCGGAAAGTACATTGAATGTCAAAATGTCTGTTTCCTATCAATTAACATAATTCACAGTCAGTCATGCAATCAATGGTCGATGGCTTTTTGCAAAGACAAATTTCTTTCTAATATAACATATTGTACAGGATTATATAATGTATCCACTTACTTAGTAAATGTATCCATTCACTTATTAAATGTAATCCGTTCACTTATTAAATGTATCCACTTATTTATTAAATGTATCCATTTACTTCTAGGGAGGAAGAATAAGAACTCTGGGTGAAAGTCTCTGTAAAGTGTTCATGCATCTTTTGGATACCGACAAAGAGGTCAACATAAAAGCGGTATGCCAGTTGTTGAAAGTAAGTGAATTTTACATTTAAATTACATAAAATTAGTTACTTTATTCATTCATGTCTAAGACTTTAACAGATTTCCTCCAATGTGGCTTGAAAAATGTGTTGGTTAATTAACGCTAGACATTTCATCTTGCATGACATGTAATCATTAAATTTGTACACAAAAGAATTCTCATGAAAATTGCACAAGAAATATTATAATTGCATTTACATTTAATGGCAATTGAATTGTCGATAAACTTTATTATTAAATCACCTCAGAAATTTTATTCATTTGTAATATGATAATTAGGAATTAGTAATATTTTATAGTATTTATTAAGGGGTCATAAATAAGTATTCAATCATGACTGGACATCCAAGTCACTCTTATTACTTTCTATTGAAGGCTAAGAACTGACCTGATCTTATGAGAGGTTAAAGTGAAAGCTACAGTTATTGTATATGAAACATGAGGTTCATGTTTTTTGTGGTTGTGGTATAAGTCATGAAAGGCCTTACCAATGTCATTCATCATTTAAAGTTATATATTGTAAAAGATTCCTTTATTCATGAAGAATAGCAGAGAAAGTAGAGTATTTAATGTAATAAATACTTCATAATTGATACTCTTTGCTAAGTATGTAAAAAAAGTAAGTTTTTGGCCGTTAACTTGTCAGTTTGTCATAGAGCCAGTATCGTTGAAAAATATTGAATACTTAGTTAATATAAACAAAGTATTGTTGTATTATATTTGCGTTAATTAATGGTATAGGTTAAAAGACTTTATCATAGACTTCAATGTCGGTATTATGCTCGAATTAGAACCTTATTAGCTCCCTAAATTAAATATTTTTACATATTAAGGCAATCTGTGTAGAAAAAGCATTCTTCCTAATTAAAGTAGGTTTCAAAGAACGTTCTTTCAAACATTGATCAAAAATTTTGGCTCTGTTATGAACATGTCTACAAAAATGTGTATCACCACTATATACTATAATAGCTAGTTATTTGTAACAGGTAAGGATTTAACTGTTAATTAGTTAATCAATTAAAAATTGCATAAATTTTAAAATATATCAGAACTTTACTCCAGGTTATACGCATTCATTTTAATATAAGCCTGACATTACTTACCTTAAAAATATTTGAATATATCATCGTAAAAACATATGTATAGACTATAATATAGTTTTTGAATATATGATCGTAGAAACATATTATTTATAGACTATAATGTATTTGATGTATGTTTCAGTTGTCTGGTATAGCGCTAGATGCGGATTGTCCATCTAGTATGCAGCAGCTGTTTGATCGCTTGAAGCAACGCTCGGACTTGGCGAGCGTGCGTCACGTGGTGTCTTTGAGAGCGACACGTTGGGGTTTAGCTGACCCCGACCCGCCGGCCCCTCCCGCTGATAGGCGACGAAACGGTTAGTATAACTATCATGAGTAAAGGCAGACCCTGGCTAAAGCTGAGAAATTGCCAGGAAGAAGAAGAACTATCATGGGTATAGACTACCCGGGTATTGAGTTATGAATCCACGTTGATTATTTAGAATATCGTCATCACCCTATCAGAGCCCACTGCTGAGCAAACTCCTCTTCTCACATGGAGAAGGTTTGAGCATTAATCACCACGCTCGCTCAAGACGGGTTGACGATTTCAAACTTGTAATTTTGAAGTTATAAGTCCAGGTTGTTACGATTATTTCCTTCACCATCTGTCAGTGGTGTCTAAATACTTTAAGAAAGTACCTATGACTCGGAAATATCACATTGGTACTTGTCAGGTTTCGAACCCGGGAGGCGGGTCTTTTAACCACTAGATAACCACTGACTTATTTATAATGGAATTCGCCTATTGAATTACCTGATATAATCCTCTGAGATGAAAGATCACAATCTAAATTCTAAATCATGCATGAGTGTTGTATTCACAATAATTGATATGTTTTTAGATACAAACTGCTTTAGAAAGTAATCACTTTTGCTATTTAATGAAACATGGATACACGCGAGATATAACGCCACGTCGTTGTACTAAACGAAATTAATTAATGACAATGTTGCCATTATAACGAAACTAAAGACTTATAATTTTTTTATTAGAGCAACTCATTCGAGCGACAATTAGTAAAGTTTATTTGTTCTTGCCAATACTTTCATATATATGTCTGTGCTTGATTTCGTTTCGTTTTTATATATTATTTCGCGTTCAGAGAGAAATGTTTGTATTTTTTCAATTTCAATGTAACATAAATGTTATTCAATAATTCAGCGACATCTATCGTGTAAGTCATAGCACTTCATACTAAATATAGTTCTTACGATGTTTTTCTGTGCAAATATAGTACATGGAAGGATAAATTATAGCCTGTATGCTTTTGGTTTTAATTTACGTAATTGGAAAGTTTGATCAAATTCCGTTCAGTTTTTACTGAATCTTGATATCAATTATTTGTAGATTTTTTTTACCATCTTTCATATAAACTCTTAATAATTTCCAGCTAACTCTGAAGCGGACGGTGTTGGAGGTTACCTCGCAGACGGACATTCGCTGACGGCTGAGGAATGCGCCTTCTTGCAAAGCAACCTACCACCAAAACCTCCCGCTATAGAGGACGACATACTGTAAGCATACACACATATATGTACACACACACACACACACACACACACACACACACACACACACATACACATACATGCTTACACACATATAAAGCTACACAGAATATTTTTTTTTAAATATTTTGTGTTAAAAAGTAAACCTTCTACATATTAATTCCATTGTTGTTACTAATTATTAACTCGGCGGGAAGCACACCCCATATACCAACACTGACACTCGCTACTGGGTAAAAAATACCACAATAATATTAATGTAAGAACTAGAGTTATTTTATGGATAATTAAATATAACCAATTTTTATATTAAATTGTGTTACATTTCCAATTAAACAAGACAGTTGGAAACTAATAAATGCTTGGTATAATATGTAATATTTGAAATTTTAAAACATAGCCCAAAAGCTCAGCCATTCTGTGCACAAAACGAAATATTTGCGAGTGTGGCTGAAGGGCTCTTTCCTGTTGTTTATTCGGAATATTATTATTTTGCTCGCCATTACCACCAAGTAAAAGTATTAATTTACTTTTTATATATGTATGTAGGCAGGTTTAAGATGGTAGATATACACTTAATTTGTGGCAATACAAGAGACAACACCTTCAAGTAATCTCTTCTGGGTCTCTTTCGTCACGATTTTCTTTATTAGTCGAACCGTTGAACATCTGTCGAAAGGTATCTAAAACGGCGCTGCACAAAATTACTTACAAAAATAAATATTTTAAATTTTAATCTGTAGCGCCTCCCGCAGAGTTAACATCACCTTTTTCATGTACAAATTTTATAAACCTCTACTGCCCTTTCACAACAATTAGGCTATAAATTCATTTATAACAAGAAGTTGTAATTAAATAACTTATGATAGAATAAAAAATATAGATCTAGATTGCATTTTTGTTATAATATTATCCATTTTATGTAAAAATAATATATTTCTTTTATTTCAGTGAGGAATTGGAAAATGATGCATGGGATACAGGAATGGATCCCGAAATGCAAGCGGGCTTCCTAGAGTTCCTCAAGATATCCAATCAAATCAAACGATAGTAACAGTTTGAGAACCACAACTGCTACATAAACTACAGAATTGACTCGATCTAACATGTACTACCTAAGTCCATAGTTTTGTAATGTGGAATTTTATCCTATGTTGTAATTTGAATATTGACTGCGCCCCGATATTAACACATGCTCCATCTTAATGCAATAATCGCTTGTATGAAATGAAAGAAAAAAAATAAAATAAAAATAAAAAAATTATATCTAGATTTTCCCGTTAGCTAAGTGTAAGATCTAGTTCAATAATTTTATAGCTCGAATAATGTACATCAGTATCATATATATATATATATACACATATATATTATTTTTTTTTTTCAAGTACATATTGGTCTGCGGATGTTTTATTTTGTGGGATGTGACTAGCATTTAAACGATATATTTTTAATATTACTATTTTTAATTGATCATGCGTATGATGCACGTGTTATGGACTTAATGTAAACAAGTAACTAACTGTATGCAGTACTTACCATGAGTTTGAAGTTTGCATCTACACTATATATTAGTTCTTACTAATATCTACGTTAACATCGTACGATAGTGCAGTTTGATTGTGCAAACTTGTGGTAATGATACAGGTGACCTCTTAAGGACTGTGGTATATAAGTACAGAAAATGTTTTATCCGTCAAGAAAGTATTGTGATGTCATATCATGCCTACAATTTAACATGTATGAGAATGTCTTATTCCTTGTGATTTTATTAATACAAATTCAAGGTGCTGTTATTACAATGAATTGTCGTTAAACTGCCGCGTTATATGTGAAAAGATTTGTTAAATACCATGCCTTGAGAAATGTTCTAGTACAAAATGATTGGTGTGTTAAAGTAAAGTAAATGTCATGTAATTAAATGTTAAAGGTTAAATAAGTTAGTGTTCGCTTCATATGATGGAAAATTTAAAAGATTAAAAAAAATGTGCATGCAATTAGTTCAATATTATCAGTGAAAGAATTATTCCAAAATTATTTGCGACTACCGTCACGTAGTTTAGTCAATGTTTTTTTTTTAATTTTCCTCGTAGTAGTTAGTCCCTAATTGTAGTCATAAGGCCTGTTCAGTGACTCTTGTTTACATTGGTCTCGTGTAAAAAAAAAACAAAAAAATATTTAGTGATCTCATTATTTCTCCATTTATTTTGTCTAATTCATGACAATAATGACAATACCGTTAACTTCGAGCGTCTCGACCTAAAGGAAATCAAATTTTGACATATCCTACTTAAATAATGGCGTATACAGATTTTTTCGATCACGTTCCATTTTCAAAATACTCTTTTTTTTTAAATATTTTTATCGGTCCCGAATTTTTAATACGACCTCTTTTAAGCCATTTTAATAACGCGCAAAAAAAATACAAAAAAAAATTAAAGTCTGATAAATAATTACTTAATTTAGAATTGCATATTTTAAGTTCCCACAATGTAAGAACTACGAATTTTATCTTATAAATTTCGTAACACCAATGTCGTTTGGCTGTCCTTGCATAATAATTACGAGCCTTGCTCCTACTACGAGTTTGAAGTAGTTCATTATTATACCTATTGCATGCGAGGATTTATAAATGAAAAGTAAAATCTTTATTTAATTTAATAATGGAAACTCGTAGTAGGGGTCGCTAATATACGAGTTGACGACACATGACCCCAGATTTTAGCACTAATAATAATTCCCTTAATGAATTGTTTGAAATAATTTTTCTATAATATTATTGCAATACTGGATTAATTTATTCGATGCAATTAGACGGATGTTTGTAATATTCCATTGTATTTTTGTTGCAGTGATATTATGAATGTTATAAGAATAAATGGATATTTTAATAAAAGGCATTTAAATATATTGTTGTTTTATTTTTAATACATCTCGTATAATAAATAAAATATGATCTTCAGATAAGTTTAGCTAAAATATGTTTAAGCTTAAGTTTTTATAACAATCGCTAAAGGATTATTACATATTATCAATGTTGAAGCAACTATGCAATAGCTAAGATTTCACCATACTTAAGAGTTTTTTTCTAATTAATTTAGGTATTATATAAATAAAAAAATATAAAATAATGTTGCTATAAATATACTAGATATCACAGTACAATAATTATTCATAACTGGCAACATCCGGTAGTACTTTATACGGGTTCAGTATACCGTTAGGGTCCATGGTTCTTTTTAATTCTCTCATGAGCTCCAAAGACGTGTCTCCTTGACTGTAATGTATGAACTGCGGCTTCCTAAAACCAACGCCGTGTTCCGCGCTTATAGAACCCTTCAGTTTCGATACTTGTTCGAAAATATACGGCTCCAATTCAGAATTAATTTCCTTTGAGTATTGCGGTACTGTTACATTTATATGAATGTTACCGTCACCTGTGAATTAATAATTAATTAATTTACCCTTAATATAATTATAAAAATGTATATTTATTTCTAATATACATGAATTTCTAAACGTAATTAAAAATGCGGAAGGTATGCCTAGTGTCTGAACTCAATTAGTTCCTAGACGTATTTATTATAATATATTAAATTGCACAACGTAACTCCGTCAAGTTTCAATAAACTGTTCATAGTTTAGACTTTAGGCTATCGGATTGTAAGATCGTTACTCAGCTATTGATTTAATCGAGAAAGTTCTGTGAGTTTGAATGCAATGACTACAAATCAAGGGAAGAGTGTTTTAATTTACATGCGGCCATTGACAGAACAGTAATGAATGAAGGCAATGACCTCGTAGTCTAGCACTTCTCGATCAAGTTTTCGTTCAAAACAAATTTTAATATATTAATTTCCGTTGAATTGAGATATCTAATAATAGATACCTCTATCTAACAGGAATCTCGTTAAGTAGTACTTACATATATGTTTGCGGAACATACATATATTTAAATTATATATTTGATAAGATAACCAGACTTTATAATATATAATCTAGTTTTCTTTTTTATTTCTCTATATGTGTATTTAATGTGAATTAATGTTACACTTTAATGCTACTTGTGTTTATGTATGCGTAAACGTATTCAATGGTCTAAAATCTAAATGAAAATTATATGTGTAGGATTATACTACGCTTATTTTAAAAACTATACTCCCGACGTTTCGTTTACTTTTCAGCAACCGTGATCACGGGCAAAAGACATATGAAGCCAGACATTGCACACATAATAAAATAGGAGTGGTATCACCCGAAAAACACAAGTTTCATTTAAATGAATACTCGTAAAAGTCTAAGATCTAAACAACTTACCAACATGTCCGTATCCATACACTCTGGTGACGCGGTCTCCTAGCTTCTTCCTTAGGTCTTCCACGAGGTCGTAGTAATTCCTCAGCGGGAGGGACACGTCGTATTTAAACACGTAGCCGTCAATTAAACCCGAACCGGCGATACTCTCACGAATGTTCCGGATGCTCTGTATATATAAAGTTTAAATTCTTAATAAAATCTATTTATTTTTTCTTTTATTAAGTACGCGTGGTACATTTTGCAGTTTTTTTGATTCTGATAAGCGTAAAGGTTGTCATTCATAAGTCCTCTACGATGATGACAAGATTTATGAATGAAGAACATTGAAATGGCCCGTGTCTGAGGAAACACTAAAATCTTGTAGATATTAATTCTTTGGAATTGAGCTATTAAGGCATTTTTAAATATCCGTTCGTGGTAGGGTATAAAACGTTGGTGGATAGAAAAATTAGTCTGTACGATAGTTAGGACTATGTTAAATGCAAAACCTTTAATTTTTTTTACAGTAATTTAATTATATAATCTTTTTCAGTATTTGTTAATTTTTGTTGACACTTTTATTTAATATACTCAAAAGATGTATTGGCACTATCAGTAGTTAAAATGGTCACGAGCTTATTACGTAACCGAAAAATTTAAGATTGGGTAACATTACAACAAAAAATTAAAAATGGGTGGGAATGTAAAATCCTAAAATATTCCATTACATTATCATCAGAGAGCCTCGTAATATATGCGGGCAGAATTTATCCGCTAAATACAATGGACAAGTTGTAATAATATGTACAAACAATCAAACTTTTCACGTGTAAGATAACAAAATGACGTATGACGCAATTATTTCTATCTCACCTTCATTTTATTAGGTTCGGAGGTGACTGTACCGTCTAATATCAATCCAGACTCCATACCTTGCGTGAGAAATCGATTTAGTTTCTCGTTATCATGATTTTCATCACTACCATGTGATTCCACCAGAACGTACATAGGATAGTCCCCTATTGGATTCCTGTAGGAATTGTCATTTATAGTCCATTATTTAGTCATTGTTATTATTTTATATAAGTGGCTTAGTTTACATATCAATGTCAGATGTTATCTTATCAGCAATATATTTGCATTATCTTATATATTCGTGAGAAATAAACTCTATTTAGTATGAAAATATAGATAATTTATTTGTCTTACTACATTTCGATAACTTACGATAGTTTTAGATTGTTTACAGTGGAAGTAATCGATTCGTTGTCCGCCATTTCGAATGCTGAGAGAATTTCGCCGAGTGACGATTTGGCGCTTTTATATAACTCGAGAACATTTTCGAACTTTTCTACGCCTAAAGGAATTAACAGGTTTAATGACGATGAAGAGTTAAATATTTTGAATAAAACTAATAGTTTTCTAATTATACTTCGCGTTATTTATATAATATTATTTTTTTAAAACCACATACTCCCGACGTTTCGGTTACTTTTCTGCAACCGTGATAACGGGCAGACGAGATGTGAAATTCACATACAAAAATATTATTAATATTAAATAAATAAATTGCAGTGTAATCCGAAAATATTAGTTTCAATTAAATGAAATTTTTCGAAAGTCTTAGATCTTATTAGAGTTAAATATTCCAAAAAGTAAGTACTCACCAAAATATCCGAGTGATACAGATCTGGGTTGTGCGGGACAATGTATGCTGACTTTGGTTATAACGCCGAGGGTGCCTTCAGAGCCGATGAATATGTGCTTTAAAGGATATCCGGTATTGTCCTTCTTCAGTGTTCGAAGACAATCAATAACTGTACCATCTGCTTTTACCTTTAGAAGTTAAAGTTATTATCAATTAGTTCTTAAGTATCATTTGAGCTGATTTTATGTGCGTCATTTAGTTTATTTGCTGTACGTTTTTAACAAACAATATCGTGCATATTGCAAAGTTTCAAATCATTGTAAAATATATGATTAAAATAAAGTATTCGTATAACAAAAAGGGCTAAATAGCATTAACAAACTGAAATTATCTAAACAAACTCTCTCTTTTTTTTAGTAGTCAGATTAGAGGTGTTAAAATAAAAATGTATATAGATATTTTTATCTATAACTTACAGCTTCAATACCAAGCACAGTTCCGTGTAAATTTCCGTATCTCAGTAATCTTAATCCTCCAGCGTTAGTACTGACGTTACCTCCTATATGACAGGATCCTTTGGCTCCGAGATCAAGAGGCATGATAAGATTATGTTCCCTGACGTAATTATCCAGGTTTTCTAGAATACAACCCGCCTCACAAACCAAGGCACCTGGGACAAATATTACATTAGATATGACTAGTCTATACATCAGGAAAATATATGAAAAATATTGTCTAATAAGTTTTGATATTTAAGTGTGATTTATTGAAAATGCTATGAATTATAACTTAGCAATTGCAAATTCAACAAACCTGATATTTCATCCAGACTGATAATTTTATTCATTAATGATAAATTTAGGACAATCTCGTCGAAAACAGGCACTGAACCCCCGACCAGGCCTGTGTTGCCACCTTGAGGACATACCGCCAGCATGTTATTGTTACAGTAGCGTAATATTTGGGATACTTCCTCGGTTGTCGTTGGTCTTAGCACCACTTGTGATTGACCTACAATATTATATTCTAAGTTCCTGCTGCAATGTCACTATGTTTACTACGTAGTGTGCCAAACACACATTTTTACGTACGTTTATGAAGAGGAGAAAAAACTGATAATACCGCAGTCGAAAGTGGCTGCACGTAATTTTAATTATATTCATGTTTTTTATGTCACATTTAAGTTTTTTTAAATAATATGGTCATATATTATTGTCTGAAAAATGTAGCAGTAGTAATTTAGGGGTGTTAACGTTAAAGAGCAACGGCTAAAGGGGGCAACTGAACAGACGGCCTACGTGATGAAGGTGATAGTGGACATCCGCAACATAGTTTGGCTGATTTTCCTTCACCCTTCGTTGGGATGGAGGAAAAGGTGGGAAAGGGAGGGAAAAGGGAAAAGGGGATCAGTTCTCTCACTCATCGGACGAAACAAAGCCATTAAAGACTACTTCACGCCGATCTTAAGTGAGAGGGTGGTACTTCCCCGGTCGAACCAGTCCATGTTCGAGCTGTAGTAACTTGACCACAGCTAGGCTCTACCACCTCACATATTTGTTAGATGAGGATGAAAAACGTCCGTGTAGGTCTTGAACATATAAATAGATCAAAATATTACCAGCTTAACTCTGGCTGAGAGTTAGTGGCGGCCGAGGGTGCAAAGGCACCTGTATTTATGTATTCTTTCCATGCATTGTTATGGTGTGGATCATATTTTTTTAAAAGATAATTGAACGAAATTCTTGTTGTAATAATTAATGAACATTAATTTAATTTAAATTATTTGAAGTCACTTTTGTCTGGCTGCGGTGTTATCAGTGTATTTTCCTTTCATAGACCTATGTAAAATGTGTGTTTGACTCATTACGTAATGAACATAATAAATGTAGAGATGTTACAACAGAATTTCTTACTACATATTACGTTTAAGGAAAATGATATCAACATTGATTCATTAAAAACAAAAATCCTGTTCAAACAATGTTCTATCTCAATATACATAATTATTAATTACCCTCTTTCTATTTATGATTAATGATGTAAACTCTGTTTTGTTTTCAACGTGAGATTAAATGAAAAGATTTGCAGTTTCTCTCATAAGTTTAAGATGATACTTTAGCGGTGATTTATGAATGAAAAACATCAGCCTAAGTAAGATGGACAATTTAGTAACATTCTATTATTCACTAAATTCAAAATGAATGTTTATATTTAAAGTTTAACATCAAGTGACATCACTATAATGTCACTGTCATTTCTAGTTATTGACATAATGTCATTTCTAATGTAAATAGTTAAATTCTTTCACCTCTGCAGTTTTTTATCCAATCAATGTTATATGGTAAAACGTCCTCTTCATCAGTCAATATTCTTTCCTTACTTAATATTGTTCTGAAATAATCGATATCTGAAGGCCTGACCGTGCCGAATTTTTTTCTTTCCACAGCATATTTATTCTAAAATAAATAAAAATACTATGCTAATAATTATACCCCTGATTACATAATAATTTAGACTTGATTGCATAATAATAAATACAATAATAGTTATGTATAATCGAGAATCAATTAATAAAATTGCTATCTTGTTGTTATTCTAACCTATTTCAAATGACAAGAATCTATTTGGCTTTGGAAACTAGGAACTATTTATCTTTGTGTACTAAAAATAGTGTGTCCTATAACACTCACTGCCGAAAACTGTGGTAGCACCGCCGTGGCGTATTTGGCTCGAATAAAAACATTACTCTTATTTAGATTAAACACAAACAGTGTGAACGGTTTAAACATTTTTCAACGGAGAAAACGCGTTGTGTCTACGATGTTTATTTTCCTACTGATACAGGAACTGAATTGATTACGTTGTTCTGCTATCTCGCTTCTACGATGGAAGTATTTACAATTAGTATAGCTATAAGAGATAATAGAAGTTACCAAAACTTATAGATAAGAATGTTTATATAATAAATAAAGATTTTAGTGTTTATTTCTTATGTAATGATTAATCTTTTTATCAGGCGTGAACATATTATATGAAAAAAATTGCAAACACGTTCATGTGCTATAATAACTTATTATTTTTGATAATTTCTCTTATAATTTGTAACAAATATAAAGTACTGAATATAACAAAAAAAATGTTTAAAACTTTTATTTCTTCGTTTTCTATTAATTAAAGAAATGTTGTAAGAATTTACACCTTACTTAGATTTAGACGTGAGTGGGTATATATTAGTATTTAATAGCTTGCAGCTACTTCCCGAGTAGCTTGGAGAAAGTATAATAGCATTTGTTCATTGCCGGTCATTGACCTTTGAACTTACGGAGCCCTTACTATAAGGAAAATATAACGTTATAGAACAAGTTTTAGCATTGAAAGACCTAACTTTTCCACTTCTAACCAGATCTAACTTTTTCCAATTACAGTGTGAACGAAGCCATAGCATAAATGAAGAAACCTCTACTTGGAGTAATTATGTTTTCTTTTTTTAATATAAAACAATCAATATATGTAATATAAATAGTTTAAACATTTGTAAAAGTGATAAAGAAAAAATAACTATTCAATTTAGTAAGTGTAATGAAAATTAAGTACCTGTTATATATTTATTATCGTATAGTAAACCGTTTATTTTACTTTATAATTATTTATTTATTATTGTGGATTTAAATTATATATTTGGAAATATGTAATTGAAATTTTAATATGTGTTCTTCTTCTAGAAGACTTAGAAGACATAATAATATGTATAATGTACAAATTTGTCGAGCCAAAGTGTCATATTAATCATCATGTGGGTGCCGGGTCCATCACGTTGCAGTGAGAGGAGCTTTAGTAGTGCCTGAGACTTGCGACCCAGGTGTAGGTTTAAGGGATCCCTATCTAGCGAACTTTAAACGCTCACCTCCACCGTCCAAGATCCTCTCCATACCTAACCAAATTTGAAACGAACCTATTAAGGCTGCTTTCGAAGTGCGTTTTTCGACAGGCCCAATGCTTTCAGTAGGCTGTAGAGAAATTTAGCTCATATATCTGTCGTTCCCACTTTCTCAGAAAATATAAAATAATGTTTTTATGATATTTATACATCTATAAAGCGATCCCGATTTCTTGTGTTTGCAGATGACACCAAAATTTTTTTAAGGATAAAATCTCTTTTGATTGCCTCTTAGTTCAACGTGACCTAGATACTTTTGCAAAATATTGCTATAATAACAGAATTAAAATTAATACATTAAAGTGCGCTCACATAACCTTTTCTCGTAAAATAAATAATTATAATTATGCATACAACATTAATAATATTGAAATTCCCAAAATCAATTCTATACTCGATCTTGGAATTCAGTTAGACTCGAAGTTGTTAATGAATGAGCAGATACAAATTGTAACTGATAAAGCTTATAGACAATTGGGATATATAAAACGTGTATGTCAGTTTTTCTCTAGTATTGAATGTATTAAAATATTATACTTTGCATATGTTCGCAGCTTGTTGGAATACGCATGCACAATTTGGTCACCGCAGTTACACAATTTATAAAGACAGACTTGAAAGAATTAAAATAAAATTTATGGAATTTCTTAGCTACAAAGACCATAAGTTATTTGATAGCTATACTGAGGCTTGCCGTCATTATCACTTGCATTCGTTAGAGACGCGTCGCAAGCACTATGATATGATGATGCTTTATTCACTTCTCTCAAACGAAATAGACTGCAACGAACTGTTATCTTTGGTACAATTCCGAGTACCAAATCGACGTACTCGTCGGACAAAATTATTAGAAACACCGGTGATGAGCACAAAATACGGAAGCAACTGCTTAGCAAATCGTTTAACAACTACCTATAACGACTCGTTTTCTGACTTAGACATATTCAATATGAAGAAATCAGAATTTAAAAAGGCTGAAAAAAAAACAAGTGACATCTTAATTTACTATTAAAACACACAAATGCGTGTGCATTTGTGTGCAGTGTGTATACACTTACCTACACACGACCCGCTCACACCCACATACACACAGTTACACATTCGCTCACACACAACGAACAGTCTTGCTAATTAGATTAGTTATCCATTATTAATTGTACTTAAGTTACGTTTATGTTTATACTTTTACTTTAACTGTGTAATCCTGTATTGGTCTTAATATTGTTTAGTTATACTTTATCATGTCATTATTATAAGCACTGTTGGATTACCGAAATAAATAAATAAATAAATAAATGTTAAAATAGATAAGTTATACTTCTGTCTAGTAATGTCCCTAAATTATATATGATATGGCCTTGAATCCAAAATTCATTGATAAAAGCTTTTTACCAAAATGTGATATTAGACTAATTGACAGACGTTCACATCTCATCTGCCCTTGATTAGGTACGGTTGCTGAAAAGTAACCGAAACATCGGGGTATGTAGTTTTTGCCACAATAAACTAGGCGTAGTATAATCCGAAAAATATGAGTTTCATTTAACTTACACGGATTCATTGACAGTTACTGAGAGAAGGAACTGTGATTTCGTTTGTTATATTTCAAAATCTTTATTATTTGGTTTTGTAAATATAAAAAGACTTTTTTATTTTTCTGATCTAATTATTTTATTTCTCAGTTCCTTAGCACACGATTAATTCTGCAATTCTGTGGCGGGCTCACAGTTAGACAGACAGTTACATCAATATTATCAATTGTTCGTTCGATTGCTAAGTGACGTTACATAAAAGTACCCGGCTTTTGTTGCACAAATGTTCACCATTCAAAGAATTCTTGCATCAAAACCTGACGAGCTTTGAACAAGAAAGTTACACCAAACATAAACTTACATTAAAATTACCAAATTGTTTAATTAAATTTTTAATCTTCTTACATTAAAGTTTAATTTGATATTATATAACGAAACTGGGTCACCGGGGCAGATATTCATTTATATAGTTTGAAGTGACTGAACGAAATTCGTGTTGAAATTCAATCGTGATTGCTATTGCCCGATGTTTTTATAATTTCGTATTCAATTGAACTTATTATTAAATCCATTATTTGCGGTTATGGAAATCTTGTTTCTAGGCCCGACTTTGAATATTTCGAAATAACAAACAAGTTGAACGAAGCTTATAAATATACTATAATTATGTTCGTTTTGATATTAAATGTGTAGTATTCTATATACTTACTCTTTTAATCGACATAATTCTAAACACAAGTTTTGATTGTCACACTACATACGAAGGGTTTCACGTTTCTTATTGAATATCGTACGTTATTACTATTGTGTGAGCATATTTCTGAATTAAATACCATAAACGTTCCGTATGTACTGCAATGATGCAAACTTAAGGTAAGCGTACAGATGTCTTAACTTTTATGAGAGCAATTTTCTCAGAAAACGTGAAAGTGTTTTAAATGCTTTCACGTTCCGACATCCTGCTGTTAAACGTCGGCATGTCCTCCGAAATTTATCTATTTCACTAAACGATCGTTTTGTAAACAACAATTCCCATTTGTGTAGTTACAACCTTATTTAAGATAAGTCAGAAGCTTTAGGCGATTTAATTTTAGTAGATAGGTAACATATAACATGTAAATATATAAAACAAATTTGTTCAGTACTTGCTTGCGATATACAGTAAAAAAATATTTATATACTAATATTAAATCACTATCATTCATATTCTTGTTTCCGCTTTAGTTTCTTAATTAAGGCATACGGTTGGAGACAAAGCGAATGGATAGTAGCAATCGCTTTGCGACGCTTGACCGAGGAGATAAATAGTTAGATTGTGGCTTCGGGCAGACCAGTCGACCGTCGAGTCGCCGTGTCCGCGTTCCGTGATGTAAACAATGAAAGTGACAACAGTCATCGTGTTGCTATTGCTGAATTATAACCGCTGCCTTACAATCCGAGTGCCGGTGGAATGGACCCAGGATAGTGAAGTGAATAAAAGCGAACAAATAGTGAATACCGAACAAAATGGAGAAGCGACACAGAAGCCGATATATAAAGACTACTTCCAATACACCGCTCAGAAACCACAGTTTGCAGTTGATGTAGCTATTGCTCATGATGTTCAATCGCCTGAAAATCTTTATAAAGCTCATCCTGTTAGACCTTACACAAATTTAGCGAAACCGGTATTAGGACAACATCATATTTTAGATCCGAATCGGAACGAGTTTCAACCATATCAAAAATTTATACAGAAATCAGAAAGTGCCGGTTTTATTACACCGGCTTCAACATCATTTGAAGTGTTCCATCCTTATAAAGCAGAAGAACCTTATTTACAACAAATTTATAGAGATCCTGTGTTAAGTAAAATCAGAAATGATTTGCGTGATAGTAAAAATCGATTACAAAATTATGAAAATGAAGCCGGTCAAACAGATGTTAAGGGTACTGAGTATTTAGAAAGTCTTCATGAAACCGATAGGAAAAAAATTCCTCACAAGAATATTCCCACACAGTTTGAAATGCATAGACCGCATCGACGCCCCATTTATTATCGGCCTCCATTTAATCATAATCATAGAGAACATTTTTTAAATAATAAATTGAAGTCTCCGTGGAGAACAAATGTTGCTAAAATTACTCCTGCTCATTATAGACCGATAAAACATCATTTGCATGGATTAAGACAACAACATGCAATGAAGTTTGACGATGAACGTAATGAATATCCTCAAGCACTACCACCAGAAGAAACTGCAGATGTACCTGAAGGTTATGACATTTATGAAAAGGGTAAGCAAAAATATAAACAAATTAAAAATAATGCGGAAGAATTAATTAACAAGCCTGAAAATAATAGAGTAGTCCACCCACATCTAGAACCTGTTATTCGTGATGATACTTCAGGTGAAGATAATGACAATAACGGTGATAACGATGATAGTGATGAATATGATGAAGATGATTTCGTTCCGATAAAAAATTATGCTCAAGTTAGAAAAACTGAGTCCACTAGACATCTGCCCAAACAAGCCGCTTTTTACGACGCCGAAAGTTTAGAGGAAATAAAAAATGCACCTCGATTGAGAGAAGCCATAAAAAGCACTAAAGCACAAACTGTTTATTCAGAAGAGGGCTACGAGGACGGTGCTTATGACCACGGAGGGGAAGAAAAACATGCATCAGATCATGAAGGTCATGGTGGATATTTGAAGGAACATGAAATCAGTGGAGGAAAGTACAAGATTCCAACGGTAATTGGCAGTCACGAGGATGAAAAGGCAGCAGCTTATAGAGATCAGATTTTAGATAATAATAAATGGGAGGATTCAAAAAAACAAACAGATGACGAAGAAGAATCTGATGACTATTCAGAACATGGAGAAGAGCATTCAGATGATGATTATACTCACAATAACAATGAAAATGTTGAAAATGACCGTCATAAGCGCGATGGAGAAACAAAGTTTTCTAATAAGAATATTACAAAAAACGATAATGATCTGAAGAACTTAACACAACAAATAGTTCAAGATAATAGAAATAAAAGTCATTCAAATCATGATGTCATTAAACGCGATACTGGACCAAACGTGTCACAGACTAGTTTACCTCATGAGGATATGGCTTTGCAAAAAAATAAAAGTCCACAGGTAGATAATATCTTGTTTAAATACCCTTATTATAATAAAGAAATAAAAAAACTTAACAAAAATTCTCCGTTCCGATATGCGGAAAATATTAAACTAATTCCAAAAAAAACCGAAGGAGGTACAGAATTTTATGATTCTAGATCAAACGTTCATTGCCCAGAAGTGGAAAGTGATGTAGATCCTATTCCAGATAAAATAAAAAAAGGCGGACATCCCGATGAGAATGAAGAAGATTATTCGGAGGAAACGGGATCTAAAAATATAAATAAGAGCAAAAAGCAAAGACTTTCTGGACTTGGAGATAAAATTGATTGTTTTAAATTAAAATATTTTGGTGAAAATCCTTTGGATAGTCCCTTTTTCAAAGAAACTAAGATCGAAAATCCCGAACCAATAATTTTACAAAATGTAACAGATATATTTTCTGTACTAGATAAATTTCACAAAAAAAATATTAAAACGTCGAGGTTTACAAATGGCGAAGGAAATAATAATGACACGGTAATAACTCAGTCCTTTGGGTTGACAAAAACACTTCCCCAGACGGCTCCTTTTTATCAAAAGGATATCGACCGCGACTTTGTTTCTAAAAATCGAAAAAAGCGAGCAGCCCCGTTTGTTTACGAACCTTATAAGATTATCAAGGATAGTCAAACTCAAGATTCAAAGAAAACAACTACGACAGGGAACGTTAGTCCCTTGATAAAGCAACTACAATCTAGCAGGATAATTGATAAAGTTTCTTCAGTTCAAGATAAAAATCAAGGTGACAAAATTAATTCCCATTCAAAATTATATAAAGATATTTCCAAAGAAGATAGACAAAATCATACTAGTGATCAAAGCGATTCTTTACCAAAATTTGTTGATGTAAGTTCTGATGAACGTCGAGGAGAACCCCGTTTTGAAATAAAACCATCAAATCATAAGACCTCTTATTCTCCCGTTGAGAGCAGGAGAGTAATGTCAACTAAGGATTACGAATCACGAAAAAAAGGTGATAGAAAAGACAACGTAGAACTAAATATACATCCTCGTCCAGTAGAGCGTAATTATTTTGACGTATCTCAATATTTACCACAAAATATGGAATTACAAAATTTAGCAGCATCTACTGCTGTAAAAAAAGTTATTCGCACAACCACTTCAGCACCATTACTAAAACATAGAGAAGAAATACCACATAGTCATGAAAACAAGGAAGATTATAATGAGTATGAGGATGAAGATGAAGACGAAGATGAAGATGATGATGAAGATGATGATGATGAGGAAAACATAGAAGTCAAAACAACTTCAACCACAACAACTTCTACAACAAGTACTACTCAAAAACCACTTCTACGAAAACGCTCCAGAGGAACCACCAGCCCCAGGACAGAAATTGAAAATATAACTGAATCACCAAAACTTAAGATTGTTACTCGATTTCACTCACCAAAACCTATGAAATTTACTGAGACTAAAGAAAACAATGACGAACAAGACGATACCCATAGAGAATATACGCCAAAATACACCGAACTGAAAAAAAAGAGTAGGGCAAGGACATTAGTTACAGATACACAGGTTTATGGGGACAATGACGATGATACGCGGAAGTTAGAAGTTGATAAGCTAATAGGAGTTAAGCAAGATATGGATGATTACCTCCCTTTGTATGAAAAAACGAAAACCGAACGTGATTATAATAAAAATAAAGTTAAAATGCATCATGACACAGATATTCAGACGGATGATAGGGATGATGACAATGTTGGAAATGAGAAAGATGATGATAATGAAGAAATAGAAGAGGAAGATGATGATGAAGACGAAGATGATGATGATGAAGATGAGGAAGACGATGATGAGGGCGAGTTGGAAAATGATGAAGATGATGAGGACGAAAGTAAAAAAAGCCATAAAGAACATCATGAAAATAATGCAACTCCTAAAAATGAAGGGAAGACAAGGTTTCGCTTAAGGATTACGACACCAGAACCTACAAAAAGAACTCTTCTTAGAACAACCGTACCTCCTATCACAACAACAATAGCCCACAGGGACGAAATTAAAATGAAACCTGTAATTCTTAAAAAAATTGAAATACATAACGAAATACCAGTAATTGGTTCATCACCAAATACTACTCAGTTTAAGCAAGATATAAAGGAAATTGAAATAGTTAGAAAAAATGCACCTAAAACAAATAGGAACGTCAATAAAAACTTAGAAGCATTAGATTTATATAGAGATGATAATTTAGCTAAAGACATAAATAGTTTAGGTGGTGTTGACATTTTTAGAGAAAATTTAAATCTTGAATCTGAACCTAAACATGGGGGAAATTATAGAAGTATACATGATGAAATACATCACACTACGACCCAACCTGTTAAACCCACAGAGGATGTAGAAACATCTGAGTCTGAACACAGAAAACTACTAAAATTAGAAGACAAGCCGCTAAGAATACGTAGTAGACAAAAAGGAAACAAAGGACAAAGTAATTCAAACGGAAACGAGGCGAGAAGTTCAAAATTAATAGAATTAAGTGATTCTGATGCTATCTCATCCAAGTCTTTGCATGGTGGTAATTTAAGATTATCGCAAAATAGAAATTCCAGACGGCAAAATAAAAATTCCAAATATATCGAGTTAGAAGACGATGATGATGTGAAGGAAGAAATTGAACCTGAAATGCATGGAGGTAACTTTAAAGATTTTGGATCACGACATCAAACGTCACGAGGCCGGGGTCTACATGGCGGTAACTACAGAAGCGCTAGGATTGTAGACGCTGATAAAAAACAAATTAAAACACAGGAGGATAAATCTTCAAAGAAGGAAAACACTAATAAAGCAGCAGAATTATTAGACTCATATGTTCGTGCAGTTCCCATTCTTTCAACCACGCCCGCTTATATATTAGATCCTAGCAAACGTATGTATTATTATGTTGATGCTTAATTTTGTTTATTTTTTTAAAGTTTGAGAGAGTTTTATGTTTCTATAAGCAAATATGTATGTTTGACTACTCGTGTCATTTCATGTGTTTATTAACTGTTAAACGATGTATTAAGAACAAGACTTATGATAACATTCTGTGATAGATAAATTGTTATTTGAATAAAATAAAAAAAGTTTATTTATATTGTTATGGTGATTTTTTTTCATCTCTAACTTATCGTATATCAGGAAATCAAACTTATATATATTACGAAGTGAGTTTCCATTGCAGTTCTTTGTTCAATTATAGATAATCTTCGTATATGTTTAACGCAGGGTTGGGCGTTACAATCAGGTCAGTTATAACCTGTAATTTCAACATTCAAAACTAGTACTGCGAAATAGATTTTAGAAGTAAGGCAATATAATCAAATTGCTCCAAATACCATGTCGTCTCGAACGTTCACCTCCTTACAGAAACCTCGCTTTCTCTTTTACTGCATTAATTGTGAGTAACAACATTGTCACTGCTTTACATTATACCCTAATAAGTAAAGGACAAAAGAGTACAAATAAAGAAACAAGTTATAGACTTAAAATATATCAAATTTTTAATTAACAATTCTTCTTTTATAAATATAGTAGAACTTGAAATAATATGCAATTCACAATGATTTTATTTTTATCTATTCATTTGCATATACACATGATTCATTAAAATATTGATATTTCAATAATATCTTATACCTTCATTCAGGTAATCGTTATTCGCTAAAAATATTATGTATTTTCCTTATTCAGTAATACATTTTATTTCTGAAATTTTTGTAATAAATTAAGTAACAATAAATAAATAATTTAAGTTATAAATAAATCTGTTTAAATTATATAATTTACTTAGAAGTAATTTGGCATAATCTTGGCTATAAAACAAAGAATAATGTGTCTACTTAAAGCTTACTAAAATCAATAAATACACCTAGTATCAATAATAATCTATAAATGTAAATTGCAATGAGCAACAATGTAATTGAATTTTAATGTTTCTTTCGACCTATTGCGTTAGCGTTCTTTGAATCAGTTAAAAATTGATGGTTTATAGGTTTCCATTCAGATTCCGAGGGATTTATGTAGGTTTGTTTGGTATCTTCTCTATCAATGGAGTCTTCGACAGCGACATCTTCATCAAAAAAGTCTATTATGGGGTGGTAGTTATAATTAACTTTTTTTCCATTACTGATTTCATCATTTGAATGTTGCTCTTGTGGTATATGTGGTATATTTCTTTCAGAAGTAACAGAGACAAGCTTTGGAGCTATTGTAGCTTTAATTTTATGATGGTTTTTATTGATGTTCAATTCAGAGTCATCATGACTTTCATTGATATTTTCAAAACTGTCTGAATTGTCAGTTGCATAAGAACCAATGGCAGATGTACCTGAAGACATTAAATCTTCTGGTCCACTAATCTTTTTTCTTATCGGTCTTCGATTAGGTCTCAAAGGATTTCTTTTATATTGACTACTATCTAAAATTTTATATTTATTTATTCCTTCCTTATTAAATGAGAAAGATGAGGGAGCCGAGGGTGTTGGTGGTTCTAAGTAGCTCGGTAATGAATCTGATGCAACCGAAGAAACAGGTTTACGATTTATAGGTCTTTTTATACTTCTTACAGACGTGGCTTGATTGAATGAATCAGAAAAATAAGTATTACCATATGAATCCATTGGGTTAGACGGAGAGATTTTATAATCATCGTTTTCATTATTCCTTGCACTATTCAAAGATGAGCCAGGTATTAAATTATGGTTATCAGAAAAGGGAAAAGATTCTTGCTGCTTATTAAACAAGAAAGATGGTGATTTCGTTACAGTTGGTCTTTGAATAGTAGGCTGAACAGATTCAAAGGCTTGATTTCCATGGTCTGAAGACAAATCTTCCCCAGGAAAGTGTTCAGAAGATGTTTCATGTAGTCTTTGTCCGAGCGGAGGAAAAGAAACGCTGTATCCTTCGATATGACAGGAACAACAAGTAGGAACCTGAAATATTATTAGAATAAATATTATGGATAAAATTTAAATAAAAAATGGATGTTAAATTAATGATAGAAGAAGCTTAACTTACTTTAAATATATCCATATGTAATCCATTCTGCTGGTCCCAAGTTAGAAGTCTATGGTAGTTGTAAACTTGAACACATTTTGATTTAAAATTGTCGGTTAGATATGTGCACGATTCTTTAGGTTTTCTGTAATAAATAACATACATGTTTTATAATTACTGAATTCAGGTTTTTGTTACCAATCCAAATAGTTTTTAAAGTTACTAATTTTAATGAAATTTTATTATTCGTTCTGCTATTTATGATTATACTAGGCAACTGTCATCTCGTAGTATGAACACTACAAGATGAAAGGGTTTAATTAAGAATGTTACGTGTATCTTACAGGCATTTTTCAAGTCGTAGTGTTTGTGTATGTTCTCCTGTGTTCACAATATATTTCCACTGGCCTGAGGTGGCGCGTGCTCTCTGTGGCCTGGCATATTTCACGGTACTTGGGCACATGAATCCTGCTTCACCAGCGCCTGCAAAATCACGATTGGCCGTGTCTCCCCGCCTGTAATTTAAGAATCATATACAAATTTACAGGCGTTATCTGCAAAATCTTAAACATTCCTTTTACCACTGACAGGAATTTTCTGTTATACAAGCACTTCTTTATTCCACCAGAAAAATAGGTAACGGTGAAAAAAGATTTCGAGAATATTTGGAGGGACAAAGGTTACTACAGGCTACGAAAAAATAAAATATATTACCAAATTGGGCGAGCATAGCAGGATAAAAAGTATAATACGGTAATGATCAACTATTATTATTTGTATTTCTCAGATCAATATGATAAGTTTTTACAAATAACTTAGTGTCTTTAAGCAAAAGGGTCAACAAAGAGACGTATCTGGCGTTTTAATGTTTTAGTATACGTTATTCAACTCATTTTAATTTTACAATAAAGGCCATTCCTTGATAAGAAAATGGAACTATGTGTGTACGTCTATGTATATACAATATACACAGAACAACTTATTACTGTTGTTACGATTAACTTTAATTCAAACAAGGCATAAGGCTGTGGTAATTTGAGACCGAGACCAATTAAGTTGGTGTTGCAATCAGTAAGATCGTCTAAATTCAATTGCATCTAGAAAGAGGATATGAAGAAGTTTTACTTCCAAAACCAGTCTTTTAGATGGTAGACATCTATGACGCTGGTTGTTTAAGTATAAATGAATTTTATCTTTACACTGAAACTTAAATTGCAAGAATTTCATTTTAAAGAATGTGGTATAAAATGGAAGTGATCACCGAGTTATTATTTTTATTAAAACCGGGATTACGTTAGAAAAATTTACTGGAATTTTGCAACATTTATTTAATTCGATAGTAATGTTAATTTAATTGAATTAAATAGTTACTTTACAAAATTTATTATTATGTAGTTGATGTAATCTATGTAAAAATGCTCTAGCTGCGAAAACGCAATCGTAAATTAATAATAATTTACCTATTAGATACAAGATAATGTTCCGCAGTATATTTGGCCTCTTGTGCTTGTGTAATTCCATCTACGGCTCCCTCGCTTGGCTCCTCAAAATCCGCCAGCAAAGCCGACGCCGCTGCCTTGTTACGCCTGATTGATTGGACTATTGCTTCCCTGTAATCATAGTTATCAATTTCATGAAATGTTGAAACTTAATGAGAAAAATTAAGGTATATTGCAGTTTTGCTTTTCAGATAAAAGACTTATGAGTATTAAAGTTTGTCTATGGTACATACAAGTGACTACATTTTACATCTTTCTCACGAACTAAATTACGTAACCAAAACTAATTTAAAAATCCTACAACTCTATTTTATTGTATACTTTTTATATATTAAAACTTTCATATTTTGAACGTTAAGTCAGGCAAAAAAATATGATGAAATGTTATATTTCAACTCAACTGTTTTAATGCAGTAACATTCTGTTTAGTTGACACGTGATCTCACTTTCGCTTACTAAAGCAGCCGATACCATAATTTCCCTCTTATTTACTTTTGCTTTCGTTGGTCTACTTAAACAACTATTGACCTTTACTTTTTATTTTGCAACTTAAGACTTTTCAAATTATGGGTAGCTATTACGTCATTATGTAACACTGTTTTTTAATTGTAAATAAATGTTTGAGAGTAGAATTTTTTCTTACATCGGATAATCTTCAGAATGTAGACAAAGTGTGTTAGTGAATAATTCACATTTTGCATGGTCTGATGATGGTGTTAAATTCCTGGAAGGAACTGGCCGTCGTCTGATCATTGATGTTGGTTCGGTGGAACGACGGGTTACTGCAGTTGGCTTAACTGGGAAGTTGTTCCTATGCATCAGGTTGCCTGTAAAATAAGAGGAGACTTATTTTAAAGTATGGCCAACAAAGAAAGTACCTTTATATTAATAAGTACCTTTTCTGTCAATGTATCTATTGAGTGAGCGAAGTTTTTCAGGTATGGGAAGATCTGCTAAAGTTTGGTTCGATGCTTCTGTTTCTAAATCCATAGTTTCATTGTTTTCTTTCATGCTGTACGTTGGTATGAAGTCTGCTTTAGATGAAATTGCTGTCCGAGTTAGGTTTACCTGAAAGATTGGGTTATTATTTATTAATTTATAAGAATATAATAAATAATCGAGAATTTCTTCTATTATACCAAGTACTTAATGTGATCTTTACGGTCTGATGGCACACTATTAAAGAATATTATCATTTAGCACATCGTCATTGACAAAATTTCATCATAATTTCAAATGTCGATATATTTTAAAAAATATCTTAAGAAAATTTCAGTTTACGGGATGTTATTGGAATCGCGGAGGATTATTTTACAGAATTCAAACATTATTCGAATTCCTTAAAATAGAATATCCATGATGAAGTATGTGGAGCTAAAAGGAAAATATGTAGGAAAATAAATTGCAATTTTTGTAATCCTATATCTTTTATGATAACCCCTTCGAAAATAGGACATAATATTATCTCATAATAGGACCAATAAACGTCTACTAGAGGAATACGTATGTTAATATAAAACTTAGTTTTCAGTTAATTTTACTTTATTAAATCAATATTCTCGCTATGCTTACTGCGATTAATCTAAGTGAAACTTACGTTATTGTTAACATCAACCGGCACGTTGTTTGTTAGCTTTTCTTTTTTGTTTTGTGTCAGATTGACAAGTCTGTCTCGTGCATTACTTTGATTGGCCATATTTGTTTTAATGTATGGTAATCTTGGTGGTCTGTTACGAAGTTTTTGGTATATGGAAGGTGTCCTGGTACTTTGAGTGTTTTCTTGGGCCCCGGTGTCGAAAGGGTTGTCGTCTAATTCCTCTGTGAATGATCGTCGTTGAAGTACGTTGGAAGTCTTGACCTCACGAGTCTCTTTGCCTGGTCTGATGGCGCGACGGATTAGATTGGCCGTGTCCAATAGTATTGGTAACATTAGGTCTGAAGTTTCGTTATTGAACATTGATCTCACCTGAAATTACAGAAATATTTCTTCATAGAAACTACATAAATATTTCATACAAACAAATCAATATTAATTCAGTCTCCTATCTTGAATAATTTTTCGTTTTTCACATTCCGTGCCAAACAATTCATAACTAATTATTGTAATTTAAACATTGTTATCTTTACTCTAACAAATGAATTTATTTCAAAGGTCGTGGTTTGAGGTTGACGGTCATGTGAAGATATGATAAAATTTAACTGTGGGACAGCTTTCATAAGACGGTTATTTAATTTTTTTGTTCAGTTATCGCATCATGATTCTTAGGCACTTGGCTTAAAGCAATTTTTCCAAGTAAAATAACATCAGAGAAGTAGTTCAAGTTTATTATTTAATTATATTTTATAAACAATGGGATCATTTAGCTGGTTAAGGTCAAACCAGATCGACCTTGGATTTAAGCGTTACTAATTATTACAACTTTTCATATGGGAATAATCTGTTATTTACTTAAGATAAGTGTCTCGAAACATGAACCGGGTGAAAGTGATTTTATTCCGCTTTCTGTTTCGCGACAAATTTTAAATAAAACATTAATAAAAAATAATGTCATCCAAGTTTCTTTGCTGTTCATTTTATTTTTATCTTGTTTAAACATGTTTTTAAAATACAATAAAACATAATAATGGAAAGTGAAACTGATAACAATGTTTATATTTTAAGCGAATATTGATTTTCTCTTTGTTTACATTAAATATTAATAAAAAAATCAAAATTCTTAATTAATAGACATAATGGGTAAATTTTTAGTAGGTACTAACAAATAAGAACTTAGGGGATGTTATTGAAATTTGAGACTATTAACAGAAGAATGGACTTTGAGGTAAAGCATTTATTCATGGCTATTGTTACTTTACAAAAAAAAATGTCAAACATATTTCATGAACAGTAATAATTAATTCATATGTTTATTTATAACGAACATTTTTATTGGACTTTCATCTATAAATTGGTGAAGAATTAGGATTTTAGCAAATTTCTAGACTAGAAAATAATTCATGAATAATCTATAGTACTTAACTGTTACGGTATGGAAGTGAGTATTTTGACGAAAATGTGTTTTACTCAGTACATGATAATTTGAAAAAATATAGTAAAACCTAAAAATTTTCAAACCAAAAATGGAATTTGGAATGAATAATGGCGGTACAAAAAATCTGAGATATACATACAGTAGAAACTCGATTATCGGGCCCTCAGTTATACGGATTCGTGATTATCCGGACTACGGACAAGTCCGGACAAGAAAGAATGTTTAAGCGTAAGAGAGTGATGTTGTTGAGAGTGGCGTACGTCAAATGTCAATTAAAAAATATTTAAAGCAAATTGAACGTATTATTTTAATTCATGATTATCAATTGCAAATTAACAAATACATATTGTAATTTATTTCAGGATTAAATCTGCAGTTTTTAGTACATACAAGTAAGTATACATATGTATGTATATGTAATCTAAGAAAATGTATCCTTTAATTATTTATTAATAAACATTGATTATTATCGTTGATATGCAGTTGTTACTTTTTTTAAACAAAACATATAATATTATGTACTACATACAAATATATAAAACCCGCATTTCTTCATACATTCGATTATCCGGATTTTCGATTATCCGAATGCCTATCGACAACGATTAGTTTGCTTAATCGAGTTTTTACTGTATATTGTTTTTGCTAGAAACAGTTATAAATAATTCCGAAATAACGAAAATAGTAACTAAATTAAAACAATACATATTATATAATAGGAAAAGTATGAGTTATTAAAAAACTTGTTTACCCATTAATTACCTTTGAAGTAACTAATGAAAAGGAAATGCACTAAGCTAACTAGCTTAGCGAATAATATGCATATTTATTTATTTATTTTCAGTCATCACGGCATTTTTTATTCCTACTTCACATATATATTACTATTATAGGTATATATTTTACTCTTTATCAAACATCAATGAATTTACTTAAAAAAAATGTATACTACTGCCATTAAATGTCAGTTAAAATGATGCAAGCGTATAATTTCAGTATTGTTTTAAACATACTCATAAAGTTTATACAATACACATTAAAATATTTTCCTGGTTATTGATTCTTAAGTTAATGTCTATTAGTTTTATTAGCAATCTAAACCAGTGTCTAATCTCCATGAGATAAATCTTTTCTTGTTCACACATCATCACCGCTAATTGTAAGACGAGTCCAACTTCTTGTTAATATTCATGGAAAAACGCATAGTTGGCCGTCATTCGACTGTGCAGAATTCAATAAGAATCATGGCTAACCTAGTTTTAATTTTCAAAGTTATTGATAATTAGGAAACTATAGATTTAAAATTATATAAATTATTTTCACACAGCTTAATTAGATACGTTATTCTCGCGTTATTTATTAGTTTAAAACGATTATTCGGTCTGATTATAGTTCAGAAACCTCACATTTAGAAAAAATGTCCTCGTTACGTATCAGATCTCTTCACAGGAAAGTCGGTAGTCGATCGGATACAATAACGAAACTGGAAATCAACTGACATCGCAGAATTACAACTGAACCGTTAAACGAATTATAATTTTTGTTGCAATTTTTGACATCGATTATTTTGAGCAAGCATTAAAATAAGAAATCGACTGTCATAAAAGTTTGCGTTAATCTGTAATCTACTTATTTTTAATATCATTATTGTAATTATATTTTTTAAGCTAATAATACTACTCTTTTTTTGTATTATTTTTAATTTCGCCTATATATTTTTTCATAGTATAGAAGAAGTCTTAATGGCTGCAAAGATTTCAACATCTCGATACATAGAATTCTATTAAAATGAAAACTAACATTTCTCATAGTAATTGCACCATAATCTTTAAGTCTAAAAAACCTAACACTCGTGAGAACTACTGTCGTAAAATGGTAGTAAGTTTTTGTGCATAAAGACTCATGAGGACAATGAACAAATTGCGATAAGCACTTTTCTAAAAGATAGCATTATAGAAATGTTGTTATTATTAACAATAGCGCTTGGATTTTATTCCTTTTTCAAGATATGTCGTTTCTTTGATTTTATGTACATTCATGCAAATCCTGTTTTGGTACAATTAAATAAGTTTTATAGAATTACCACTATTTTGTATGAACTAAATAATTATTATGGATTTTTCCTTTTTGTTAATTTAATATTCTTTTATAGAATGTTCTTTTAATGACTAGGTATATGTTAAAAAATTCTTCACATAAACATTTTTAAAAATTTATAGTTTCATTTTAAAATGTGGCTACTTTGATAGAAAGATTACATTTTTCAGTAGTTTTTATTTTTATTTCTTTAATCTCAATATAAATAAATTTTCAAACATAATTTATAGCTATTATCTCACCGATCGCTTAACAAAGCCGGCTAGATGTATTATAAAAAACACCAAACGCGAAACTATCAAATTACATTATATAACAAACCGGTGCTGGCTTTCAAAAGTAACAAACTATATTAAATAAGAAAGTATATTTAAATATATCTCCTAGAAGTGAAGCTATACGAGTCATTCAATATAATTGTATATAATATTGATATATATTATGTACTTAATGTAATAAGTAGAAAGAAATATTACAAAACATGTATGCTATATTACCTGAGATAGATTGAGTGGCTGTCTTCCTGGAGGTGTAGTGACTTGGCTGGCCACTAATGATGCCAGTGTGACACGCTGGTTTCCAGACATAGCTCTGATGATGGGAATAATCTCCGCAAACTTGCCCACATGGTCCTTTCTCTCTAGTGCTCGTAGAACAGCGTTCTTTACCATACTCTCCTTATTTCTATAATTTTTCACAACAGCCTTTTTTGTAGTCGCTTCAAGTTCCTTTACATTCTGATCGGATTCCATTGAGTCTAAATTGTACTGTGGCCTGTGAGAGTTGGTCACTCCTGTGGGTTTGATAATCGTGATCGGCGGTTTGACAATGTTTTCATAATGCTTCGACTCTTGAGCGATTAGCAGTTCGTTTGGTTCAGAAAACTCAAAGTCTTTTAAATCATCTTCAGCACACAAAACTGCAATCAAAGTCAGTCCCAAATAAAATCTAAATAAAAACTCCATTTTTTATTGTAAGTATTACAAAACTATATACTGAGATATTAACTAAAAAGATCACTTAATATTTTTTGTAAACATAATCCTTAATGTTTGGTTGGCATGTTTTTGTGAGCTTTTGATGCGCGCGCGCCTGTTTCTGCCTCGCAGACGAATGAGCGCGTGCGATGCTCTCCCCACACACTCACGCATTTACAAGTGTCAGATAATACCGGAACTGTCAGCTTTCTCTTATCCTAGGGTCGCTAAATATGACCCCTCAAAAATATGCCTTATCATAATATCAATACACGCAAATGAATGAGTCGATTTTTTTAATAACTAATTATGCTTTGTATTATGTACCATCTAAGAATTATCATGATCAATAACTAATACAATTACACATTTTATTATCAAAATACGTGTTTATTATTTTACAATCGTAATGTCATTTAGGTAATATGTTATATATTGTAAATGTCGTTAAATATTTTATTTGAATATGTAAATAATAATAATATTACATACGGGATATCTATATTAATCGGAAAAACGAGCCGTCGAGTAATAAGTTATAAGTTAAGTTACGAGATATTGATCAAGTGGGCTTTCACGTTTCGTTACGTTAGTTATAAAAGTTATCTTCATTCATAATCCGACGACTTTGAGCGGTTCACATAACTAATTCTTGTAGGTAACATAAAAATTATAAACAATGGTGTAATAAACAGTAATCAAGTAATATTAAGAGTAATATTAGTTTAAATATAAACATTTTTTTCAGCTTCAAATTACAATTTAGTTTAACCTCGCCTGTGTTAAAGACTTTTTTTCTCAGAAGTCTATTGCAGTTTTTAATGTATTTTTGCTGATATTGTTTGTTTTGAAACCGATGAAATCGATGATTTATTTTGATTATGCTTTAAATTTAAATTAGTGAAGGTAATTGAAATCGTACTACATTTTGTCATTTTTTTGTAGATCATTTGAAAATATTAGTGAAGTTTGGTAAATTAATTTTTTTTGTGTTATTTCGTATTTAGACAGCAGACCTGAGTCCTGTAGATAATCGAGATAATATTTATTTTATAAATAAATCTTTTTTCTTCTATTCTTATAATGGTTATGAAAGTTTAGATGCCACAAGTGACTTTTAAATTCCAGCACCAAGATTTAAGGACAACATACGGAGGGTGTTAGATATATTAAAACTAAAAAAATTCTTACTTATCTGGAGGTCAAAAAGAAGAATATGTTGGTCATGAAGGTTTCTACCGAATGCGTGTATTTATTTAATCCCTTCTCGACTAAATGAAACGCCAAGGAAAAGCTACAGCTTGCAACCACGAGACTATGACAGCCCAAGAAAACTTAGAACATTCATTTAAATGTAGTTTTAATTCTCAGTTTTTATTTCTATACTCAAAAACATGCTTAATTGATACTATCTTTAAATACTATGAGCTATCGAAAAAACTGAAAATATCAAAGTAGGAAAACATTGTTTTATGTCTTATTACAGAAAAAACTCATCGTTTGAAAGGTCTGCATCTTACATTATTTGTTTCGATAATATATTGGTTATAAATTAAATTGTAAACACTAAAATTTCTAAACAATTACTTCCTACATAATAATAATTTAAACTTAGTTGGTACATAAGTACATGAGAGATTTTGACATTGCCTGTATTACATGTATTTAACGAAAAAAGTATTGAACGACATGTTTTTCATTCTTAATCTATAAATTAATACTTTAAATACTTACATACAAATATTTTCTTTAATATGCAGAAACACAAATGATCGGGTTGCTCCTTCTTCGTTGATCATCACGAGAAATTAAGGATTGAAAGAAAGCCAACTTTTTATTTTATTATGAAATAAATATAATTTCTTTCAGCTCCTTTACGTCAAACTTGTAAAGGCTGCATACTTTATATAACATTTGAAATTGAAACCGAAAGTCTGCTTAAAAACACATGAAATTATTTCACATAAGTCACATTATCAAACATGACTTAACAGTTAAAATTGAAAGTGTGTATGAGCACGAAATGATCTATTGTTATTTACTCGATAGAGGAGTTACGACACAGTAAGGTACATCACTTCTGTACTTTCATTTTAACCTCGATTTGACCTCATCGAATTTCTTTAAATATGTTAAACAATGCTAGACAGGATATGTAGTGATCTATTGTAGTTATTGACTTATAGGAGGGTAGATCGAAAATTGGTGTATGAGGCATAATGTGAAAGAAAACACAAAAAAATATATCTTTTCTCGATATTTGCTTACTTTAGTAGTTAATCATCTATAAGTTCGAAATAATATGGTAGGTTGAAGTAAAATATCAATTGACACTTCTACTGTGAAGGCTATTTCGTTTTTTTAATGTCAATTATAATCCTTCTAAATTTTTGAGTTCATATTCAATTTATAGTCTAGATAGAATGCAAAACCATCGAATTCCTTATTAAATTATTCTTATACCTTCTCTTTGTAGTTAATACAGAAGATTTGTTCTGAAACCCTGCAAACAGTTGCGTAAACAATATTAAATTATCTAAATTATGATAGCTGTCACTTCAGTCGTTTATTTATAGGGATTCTTTTATAAGGACTATTTTCAAATAGTCTCTAATTTTAAAATCGCTTCAAGTTTTTAAAAGCGAAACCTTGACATACATCTATTCAGACCCTATCATTCTGAACTGATTATAGAACTTGTAAACTATGTTTTTATAAAGCTAAATGTCTCTCAATGCTACACAACAGTTTCAAAACGAAAAATTTTAAATATCAGAACTCAAGTGATTATCAGCATTATTATAGAAAGAACCAATGAGCTTTGTTACTTGCGTTATTTGACATCTTATTTTCCTTTATTCACTAGTTCCTACAGTTATATATATAGTTATATAATAGTTTTCCTATCTAAAAGTACGTTGCATGTTTTATAATCAATAATTGAGATTAAATCTCGGTATTACTCATGTATATCAAAGTGTATACGATTAAAAGATTACTATCATTGAATGAATATGTATGATGATTTGTTAGTATGTTTGTCTTTTGTATGTATGAATGATTTCTAATTTTTGATGTCTTTCACCAGCTTGTGGATGACAATGCTATAAGGAAAACACAAGTCATATCTTAAAGCCGCAAGCTTTTAATAAGTAATCATTTGCTTCTTCTACTATACTGCTACATTGAATAAATTATGTTAAATGAATATGAATTTTATAGTAAAACAATAGAGGTTAAAAAAGCTTAAATTAATAATACATTGCTTAATGTTCTTTAGAAATTGTATGTTGTAATAAATGATTATCTTGCAGTATTGTTTTAAATAATATAAATTGTTATATATATAATATATTTAACTTCTTTGCGTGTTGAATTCTACGATGCATTTTCGACCAATTTTAGCCTTAGGAATGTAGAAGTGTATAGAGGGATGTAAGGCTGTGCAATACTAAAACGAAATAAATAGAGCTAAAAACTTATATAAGTAAGATTAAGTTAATAAAAAACATAAGTAAAAATACAATTGTATTATTTACTTTACATATGCAAGATTCAATTACGTACTAAGACATAAATAGTTAAGTTAATCGACTAAGTCAACGAAGATTAAATGATTATTTCAATTTATTTAAATGAGTATGATAAAGATTAAGATTCATGGTTTCTTACAAAATGCCGCTTTATGATATCTGAAAGCATGTCTTGAATTAAACTTATGTACCCTTAGAGTTAGCTCAATGTTCCAAAGTAAAACTGTATTAATTTATTATTGAAATTATGTAAATATCTCTATAAAGTAAATAGTATTTTTAAACAAGTGCTCTTTCAAGCAAATTGCTTTCATTTTATATCCAAATTTTATTTAGGAGAGATCTCTGAAATATCAATAAACTTGGCCTTGACTTTGAATGATAAATTGGTAGAAAAAACTGTTTTTGTATAAACTATAAAGCATTTTTAAAATTTAAATTTTTTAATAAAATATTTGGAATGTTAAAATATTAAATTTAAATAAGAAATACCGAGACATTACTAATCGATGTACCGCCTGAATGCAATCATTATCCTATTGACCTCCAGTAATCGTGAGGTCAAAATGCAATAGACACAAATGTTAATGTCTTTATGAAAATTAATATTCAACAACCACTTTTTGTTCAGCATATTTTTAATGCACCAAAAAAAGATACCAAGCATTTCGAATAGAATGTATATTATTTTGAAAAAATATAATTATAGTCACTTGCAGAATTTTCAAAAAAATCACTACTCTCTGCAATAAAGAGTAAACACGTCTTGCCATATTTTCTTATTTCGATATTTTATTTTCGTTTGCATTAAAAAAAAAGTAACAAATACTATATCATAAGAATGAACGATGTGTGATTAATTCAAAAGAGACATGACATATAAAATATAGGAACAAAAAGCCAACATCACGCGGTGTTCCCAGGCGGTCACCCATCCAAGTACTGACCGCGCCCGACGTTGCTTAACTTCGGTGATCGGACGAGAACCGGTGTATTCAACGTGGTATGGACGTTGGCAGACAGACATACACAAGTGATCTCCCGGCTAACCTCGCGTGTCCCTAACACATACACACACAGAATGGAATACAAAATATCAATTAAAAAATAACCCAAGGAAAATAGCGCGGATTTGTTTTCTAACTATTTATATCTATCTTAAAAAATTGCTCCTTAGATCCTCCATTAGAATCAGTAATTGCTCTACTTCTAAAATAATATTTATAATTATTTTTTTTAAAAATACGATTAGTCGATTACTGAAAACTTTATTTGAGTATACAGTGAAAAATATTCATTTGTAATAAATCTATTTTTGTTGAGAAAATTGCTCTCAATTTACTCTATCAAATACACACAAAAAATAATTATGGCAATTTTTATAATAATTACCTAAAAAATAATATTCGAACAATAAACTATTATAGTGACGTCATCAACTGCCGTTGTAACTTATAAAGGCTGTATTTATAAGTTATTATTAACTATAGAAGGAAGAAGAATAGGATAGAATAGATAGATAGATAGATAGATGCATAATTCAGGCTCGGTGACTACTTCCTTTTTAATATAAATTGGTTACACGTCTTTAGTTGCCTTTTTTAACATTTTGTGCATCTTAAATCTCATACCTGTCACATAAGAAATATTTTGACTTACCTTAATTATTGGTTTTTTCAGGTTCCAAAAAAGATTTGCTATTAAAAAAAATATTAATTTCAAAACTCCAAAAGTAAAAGAGAATAAAGGAGTAAAGCTAATCTTTTTTAGGTCAAGTAACCAGTGCTCTATTAAATATTGTCTATTCCATTAATTCACATTTCTTAGTTTTCATAATAATCGGTTTAGTAAAAAAGAGAAATAGTTTTCAAGAACATTGGTAAGTATCATATCCGTGATTCAACTTGGGGCACCTTGCCAAGATCCATCTTGAGAGAAAGTTTATGAAAGTTAGTATTGTTTCGTTGGCCAGTCCTGATAAACAATACGTCTTTTAATATGTCCGAATGTTTATATTAGAAAATAATGCTACAGATGGTGGAATGATTAAACCTTTATATAAACTGTTCCCTGTTTTACGTATAACTATTTACATATTTAACACACTAAGTTATTGTTGAATGATAACGTCTGATATTGTTTAAAAGAAATATAATGTCACATGAGCTAAAATTATAAAGTTTATGACACTCATCATACTCTCACTCTACAATTTTTTTTAGACTATTAACAATTTAGTGCAATAAAAATATTGGATTTAGATAAGGCAGTCGTGAGCTTTTAGACTATTAATAAGTGGTCTCAATAAATTTACGTAACAGGATCTAGAAATTGCGTGACAAAATAGATTATTTAATGCTTCAATTGATAAAGGATATAAAGAAGTTTGATACCATTAAAGAGGGCCTCAGTTACGTATGAAAGGTGTGAAAGGACCTTGTCAGTTAAATTTATATTCCAGAGATATCTAATTTGTTCTAGCACTCTCCAATAAATTAAACTTTTTAAGGCAGAAGATTTCTTTACTTTATTTATTGGTTTGAGTTAACAATTAATCAAGAAAAATTATATGCACAACAATTATCAAGGAAAAAAGACCATGTATTGATCTTGATTTAATTTTTTGTTACTGCATTCATGTCAATATTATTTGTACAAATATTTAAAATTAAATAAGACGCTTTTCAAACATTAACTTGAATATAATGTCAAATAAGAAGATGAATACAAGAGAGATGATTTTTTTAATTTAATATTTAAATAAAAAAGAAAATAGCAAATAAGTTTCAATACATAACTTTATTCATATTATAATAAATCTTTCAAACTTATCCAATAATCAGATCATATAACAACCCAATAGACATACAGTTTAAGACTAGACAGATATTGAACTGAGATTTGAAAATGAAGATATCTGTAACGTATATAAAATCTGTTAAATATTTACATAAACAAATTTAAAACACTATACAATTACAATCTGCAGCACCGTTTTACGTATGGATATATCTTTGATTTTATTATAATAATAATGATATATACGTACCATAGAAAATAGTAACAAAATTATTAGATATACTTAGGTTTTACGTTCTTCTATAATGCGTATCAAACACATAATTATATGTCAAATGTTTGTGCTCTAACATAACTTACAAAAATCTTATCCTAGCAGTACGTTATTATTAATATGTACAATAATATATAATATTTATTATTAGGTAAATGTTAATACAAGTCGTTCACTGCAATACTGCTATAAATTAATAATATTTACAATTTTCCGAACCTCTCCGGCAGTACATTGAATTTTAAAGCGTAGTTGTCATGAACTTTTGCTTAAACGTCATAAATGAATTAAGAATGTTGTTAGTTTACTCAAATATTTTATGTAAAAAAATTTGGGAAACCAATAATCACAAGCAGCTCTGAGTTTTATTAGTTTAAATAGGTTGGATTAAACTAAGTATATTAAGTGGATTTCAAGCACCTATATATCACATTCAAATTCCGACACTCTCTTATTTCGTCCGTCAGGCGCTAATTGAAAGTGATTCTCTCTGGTTCCTATCCTTGGGAAACCATTGAAGCTGTTCCTACTGACGAGGGGGTTTTCTCTTTCCCTCTCTCTGTGGAAACTGGATGTTGATAGTTTTTCTTTCCGTTCGGAAAAGTTCGCGTCGTTGAAGTTCTTGTCGGGGAAACTTCTTTCTTGGAAGTTTTTGTCTTGGAAATTCCTGTCGTTGAACTCTCCGTCGGAGAAATTTCTCTCCGTGAAGGGCATGTCTCGTATCCCAAAGCCACCCATCCGTGGTGTTCCTATACCGAATTTATTACGGAGTTCCTCATCGCGCAGGTTGAACGCTCTGTTTTCAAACTTATTTGGGCCCGGTTGTAGCCTGAAAAATAATTATTTCATAATCATATGAGTAAATATCTAAAACTATTCAACTTAAAACAATTTAGATATCTCATTTAAACAAATGATATAAGACTTACTCTCTAAAGCACCGCCTCTCCCTATCATATTCAGCGGATAGCCCTTCATCGTCGTGAATGATAGCGGACGGGTCGCTGTAAACCGACGATTCTTGGTAAAAGGAGTCGAGGTCAACGTAGTTGCCTTCAACGGGCTCGTTCTGTAGTAATTCCGCGAGGGTGGCCTTGAGGGAGGCAAAGGAAGGTCGCTGTGAAGGGTCTGCGTGCCAACAAGCGTGCATCGCGTGGTACAGGGGCGGAGCGCAGTGCGGGGGGCGCTCCAACCGGTAGCCCTCTGACACCGCCGCGGCGACCTCACGACCTGACATCGCTGCGTATGGTGTTGAACCTGGAAATTAAATTGAAATTATTTTACTTGGTTTTATTTTTCTATGCGTAAATTTTTATCGATGTGATGTGGATTCTTTGTAGATAAATATAAGTGATTGTTAAAAGTCACTGAAAACATTTTCGTTTTGTAATGCAAAAAGATTTGATGACATTTTTCTCATATAATAAATAAATGAAGATTATTAACTATATATTAAAAGATTCTCTACGTTTAAAGACAGAACAATTTTTTTATGAAAGTAATAGCTGTTACTGGCTAATTTCTACGCAATAATAGTATGATGTAACTTAGTCTGCTTATTGATTACACTGGTATTTTAATTTATCAAGATTATTTTTGCTAAAGAGCGACAGTAACCAAACGTCCAAATGTAAAAAAAAATGTAATCAACGCGCCCTGGTATTTATCTTCCGTTTCTACTAATATGTGAAGTGGGATCTAATCATTTACGTATTTTTCATTATTTTTATATTAAGAAAACTCACCGAGTGTGACAATCTCCCACAGCAGTATGCCGAAGGACCATACATCCGCCTGATGGGTATGAACATTGTACATGAGAGCCTCTGGAGCCATCCATCTAACTGGCAGCGCACCACGAGCCCTGCCACTAGCACCCGCGGTGCGAGACATGCCGAAGTCAGCTATTTTGCAAAGCTTGTTATGATCGACGAGGACATTACGGGCTGCCAGATCACGATGCACGATCTGAAGCATAAATATAGATAAGACAATATGTTTGGTAAACGAAACATCAATTTATAGTAATTATAACTTTGGAATGGTAGATATGGGCATTAAATTATATAATTTTTCTGGTACAAGACATTTTTTTACAAAACTTAAAGAATATAGTAACTTGTTTTATGAATATTCAAAAGAATTGTCACTGGTTGGAATGAAAACAGAAGGACGAAAGAAAGAGAAGTGTGCGAGAAAAATTATATTCTGCTTATTAATTTTTTTCTGATTCTCTGGTTTTAATATGTTGTTTGAAGAATTGGTATGAAAAATTGGTCTAGTAAGTTGCGTTGAGACTTAAGCCGAGTATATATTTTTGTTGAGTGCTTATGGAAGATAGCAGGATTCAAAGAAGATTGCAACACTGGTCTACCATAGTCAGCAGGGAGCATAATTGGTGGGCTGAGCTGACTTGATAACTGAGATTATTTCTACTTGTCTACTTCCATCGTGCCTGTAAGCTACTGAATAAGAGGATACGTTGGCGATTGTTGAGGAGGTTCTTGTGTCCTCACAGTTTTCAGTGGCACTAACACAATAATAGATTGAAACAGTTTGCCGGTATGTGTATATTTTTTCTACTTATAAATTAGTTTATCTTCAAGGAAACAATGAATAAAATATATTACTTGTACAGTGCATTTACCACATCTACTTTCATTTTCACCTACCATCAGATGGAGTCATATCAAATTGCTATCTAATTTATTAAAACAAAAAAAAAACTAAATAAACTCACCCCTTTAGAAGCAATGAAGTCCATACCCCTCGCGACACAATAGGCGAATACTGTCAGGTCTCTTGAAGTAAGTGCGCCACTACCGCTGAAGCGATCGGGTCGGGACCGCCGCTCGCGGAGATACGTCAGCAGTTTACCGCACATGACATACTCCATTATCAATAAATACGGTTCTGAAAGAATACAAACAATTTATGAGACTACGATAAAACTCGTAGAAGATATCGTTCACTGTTCAATACTACTAAAATAAAATATCAACTTCAAAGTGAGATATTAAAATTTCAATTTAGAATACTTTGACAACAATATTTGTGTCAAATCTATGTTAATAAAAACTGAATTCAGTCTCTATTTAGAGGGATAGGACTAAAAACTATACGGCTTCGTGGCAAATTTTACCTTGTTCAGTACAACAAGCTAGAAGTGTTACTACATTCGGATGAGTGCCGATTTTTTGCATGATGTAAATTTCATGCAACAGCTCTTGCTTTTCTTTCTGTGAGGCTGATTCTTTGATTGTCTTTACAGCAACCAGGCGAGTTAACCCGTCGTGACCATTCAAATCATCCGCTTCAGCTTTCCAAACCTAAAAAAAATATGTTTTCAACCGCAGACATTGAAATAAACTACTTCAAATCGTAATTATCCATAGTTTAATATACGAATATTTCTTTAAAAAAAAATGTTACTCGACATCAATACAGAAGAAGTTTATCATACTTAGTGTTGTTATTTTTGCAATTTTGATAATTAATGAGAAGTTTAAAAAAAATATCCGAGTTGAGAAGTTTAAAAAAAATATCCGAACATAATAATACAAATATTTTACCTGGCCGAAATTTCCTTGTCCCAGTAAAGTTTGTAATCTTAGTTTGTTTCGCGGAAATTCCCACTTTTGGTCAGGTTTGGTAGGAGTTGGCATCGGTGGTCTGGCGACAGGAGTTATAGGGGATTCCTTTTTAACATCGCCGCTTTCATCAAAATAGCCTTCGTATTCGGTATCGATTTCCTTTGCTTTCTTATTAAGGAGATTTCTTAAAACAAATACCACTACAGCAATCACTGGCAGAAAACCAAGTCCAGCCAGGACATATGAAGCAGTATAAGTCTTTTCAGCTTCGATAACAACCTCTTCATTTTGTGATTCATCCTGGCTATTATTCAGTCTCATTGTATTATTTGCTACTGTTTTGTTTGATTTATTACCAGTAAATGTAAGGGGCTTAGAATTAGATGAAGATGAAGTTTCAGATATTACAATTATTGATTTTAGCGTATTTTCTGTGACTTCAACAGGACGAGGAGTCGTAAGAGTGGTTGGTAATGTTGTAGTTTCAGTAACGTCAGTGAGTTTGTCGTTTAAAGTAGTCGCAGGAATTGGAGTAGTCGTAGTAGTAGTCGTAGTCGTTGGTCGTCGTCTTTTTGCTATATTTCTAGGTATAGGAATACCATTAGTCGAATTCTCGTACTCATTTCTTCGGAACAAATTAGCTAGTGCCTCAGATATTTTAGACGTGGTCTCAATGTCTTTGTTGCTTGTTGGAGATGTGGGTTTTTGGGTTAATGTTAAAGTTGTAGGTTTTGACTTTAAAACACCTGCAGTTGTTGTAGTTCTTATTCGGTATCTATGCCTGTATGGTCGGACAGTGATTGGTGGTAAGGTAGTGGTGTCTGTTTCGTTTATTGGATTTGCCGTTGATGTTGTTGTCTCATTTTTTAATTCTTCTGGGGATCCATCTGCAGTTACATTACTAGATTCGTTTGACGAAATATCTGTTTTATTCAGACCTTTCACAGAAGATGTTATAGACACAGATGTTACAACAGCTGTATAAATAGAAGTCGATGCTTTTTCTGTTGTAGTATTATTTACTTCTTCTTGTACTACATGTTCGGTACTTGTTGAAGTTGGTCGTGGAGGGCGGCGTCGAGGATTAAAGTAGCTTCTTGTGAAATTTCTTGGTGGGGGTGCTGAATAAGTTTTATTAACAACCGCAATATCTTTAGCGATTGTTTCATTTATATTACTCGGTAATTCATAAAATGGTGTCGCAATGGTAATATTTTTATCCTCAGTATTTGATTTCACGCTCTGCAAAATTGCTTCAGTGTCATTTGATTTTACTGCAACCTGTGGTTTTGGTGTCGATTGTGTTGTGTTAGGATATTTTCTATAAGCATTAACTAATCCTATCTGACGTGCAGGTGCCGGTCCCTTAACCGTATTTCTTATTTTATTTTTTTCTATAGTATTTTTCACAACCGACACATCCATTTCTTCATTTATTTCTTCCTCTCCGGCACTTGTATTGCGATATTTTTCGGTGGCTGAATAACGTGAGTTGAATTTTCTTTTTTCTGAGTTCGAAGGTGCCGCTATAAAGTTAACTGATTTTGTCGATGCGGAGAGAGATGGATAATTGGTTAAATTATCAGATATACCTTGACTTCCTAACTTTTGTCCAAAAAATATAAAAGGCGCCATTTCTTCATCATTTAACTCGGTTTCAAGAGGTCGAAAATGGTTATATAATTCTCTGGACATAAACAAAGTTTGATTTGTTTTATCAGTATCATTGTCTATTTTAACTAAATTAGTATTCCGAAGATCGGTGCTATTAGCTATACTATTTACTTCTGGCTTTTCTTCTTTCGGTATAAATTGGGGTAAAATTGTTGTCTTTTCAATACTATCCGTTGCAAGGAGTGTCGTCGTTTGAAAGTAGAATGAACTATTGTCTTTAATTTCATTACTTGAAGTTGTTTTGTTTAAGATTACTTCCCCTTGTGTTACGTTATCTGTGTCTGAATAATTCAGTAAGTATAATCCGTGATTGGACTCGTCAACTTGAAATTCTTCTTCTGGGTCTAAATCGACTTCTTTGTCGAGACCCTCTAACTTTTCAGGAGGGAGATAAACTATAGCACTCTCTGTAGTTGTTTCTTTCGGCACTACTGACCTATTGCCAAAATCTTTCCTTCTGTTATTTAAAAACCCAGCTCTATTCTTGTCTTGATATATTCTAGGTATAAAAAGATGCCTTATTTCATGGGGTTTTATATCCTGACGTATTTCTTTGTTACCTTCTCGGGATACAAGTTTAAGTGTTGGTGCAATGGCTTCATTGCTTGAATTTTCGAATGTTATTCTCTTTACAATAGAGCTGTTTGAATCTCTTATTTCCAATTGGGCGAATGTTGTGTTTCCTCTGTAATTTGAAAAAAGTTTTTTATGATATATAAACTGAAATCTAAAGCAAAACTATAAATCTAAAGGTTTTAAAATATAACTGACTTGTGTGGTTTATGAGCCAAGGAAGCGATAGTGTTGATATGTGTTGTCAGTCTTCCTGTGAGCAATTGTCTTCTTCTCGCCGCAAGCAAAGAAAGCAGCTGTGAATCTCTTGTGGTGTTTGAACTACTTTGGGTCGTGGCACGTCTTGCTCCTCCTAGAATCAATACACACACGATTTAATATCATACTTTTATTAGCACGTACTATGTAGTGTCAAAAACAAACAAGTTTACCATAAAACATCAATTTCAAACCTAAAATTAACTCGACAAGGCAAAATGTATTCGCCGCAAATAATTTTGAAATAAACGAAAGATTGCGTGAAAATAATTAGATGTAATCAAACATCATCGCCGGCTGGCAAGGAAGCCTTCACCCCAAAACAAAACAATAGCAAGAGATGAAATTCAAACACTAGTTTGTCGTCGTTACCTTGACATAAGGGAGCCGAACGTAATTATGAAAATTACTATTTCAATTAAAATTTATCAATCTTTATTTATATAGCAATTAACTACGTGTTTATTACTGCTTTTAAAAAATACGGTGATATCCTTAACTGTATATTATTTTTAATGCTATATAAATTAATAGTTAGTGTTGATATATAATAACATTCCACTATAATAGCAGTAAAAACGGGTATGAGTGATGTGCAGTGAAATTCTCAGAGCACACGCAAGATTAGAAATAGGTGGCTCGATAAAATTATTACCACCAGTAACTCGATTGTATTGTTAAGGTTTTCATAATACTGAAATAAAAACTATATTTTATATGAATTATACAACTCCGAAATAATAAATGGGTTATGTATAATAAAGTTAAATAATGATGTTTTAGTCCAATTTCACTACATTCATATGTTACTCGATGATTTATTAGTTTACTTTGATTTCCTGCTATGTTATTACATATCTGTGATTTTCATTAAACATAATCAACTGTTTAATACGGGGAAATATCAACTACAATAATTTATACAAGTTAAATGTTGTGTCAAATATTAAATACATATACATAAGTATATAAATTTTTCTTGAACGTTTAAGTTATAACTGGTACACTTTCGTATAGCTTAATTTTTGATTGTCTTTATGTTCAATCAAAGTGTATTTGGTAAGTAAAAACATAATATTTTATAACAGAAATATGAAGTCCTTTGTCACAAAAAAATTGATTACTAGAGTGAAAACTCAATTTAATTTTGCGACATCAGCTGTGTCGTAAAATTAATCAGAAAATAGGCAAAGGGTTTAATGTTCTGTTCAATTAAAATATCTGCACAGATTGAAAGGACTGTGGTTATCTAATGTAGGTTCGAGCACCTCTCACATTCCTTTGAAGGTTTTAACAGAATCAGTGCAACCGGATTGTTTCAAGAAACCTTATAGCTACTACAAAACTTATACAATATTGAAATTATAAGATTTAAATTGTTAATTGTTTATTATTAACATTAAAGGAACATTTCTTAGAGCTTAATGTCCCAGAAATAGTGAGAGAGACGTTGAAGTTATATTTTTTTAGTTCTATTTTATTCTTGGCTTTATTTTCAAGCAATTTTAAGTAGTAACTGCCCTCATTTTACTTTACGTACGAACCCAGGTATGTCATTGAATTATGATTCCAAGTGTTACATTTCTGTTCGCTTATTTTGCAGCTCTCAGAAATAAGATTGGTAACTAGATGATATCAAAATAATAATCACGTAATTTTAAATTTTTAAGTACTTAATCAGATTATTATGATTATTTTGTTTTAAACAAAAAATAACTATAATAAATTTAATAGCAACTTCATGTTAAATAATTTTTTATAACAATTTTAGCACTATACTGCACCGTTTTCATAATATTTCAAAACATGCCGTTATTTAATAAGGACGTATGAAGCAAACATTCGACTTTATTCATAGTAAAGTTCCACTTGATATAAAAACGTCTCTCACACATATTTCCCACACATTTAATAAGTGTTTTCGTTAACAAAAACCAAGTGCGTATTACAAATTATGGTTAATACTGTTGACCATGTGAATTCGTGTATAATTCTAACCTTTAGGATGGAAACCTTTTTATCACACACAAGAAATATCACGAATTTGTATTTTTTATTACGCGATATAAAATTATATTTTATTTAATATATGTAATTTAAGTATCATTACTACTGAAAAAAATTGTGGATGCTTTAAAATAATTTTTAAATTGTTGAAGTCGTGTTGAATTTTAATTTGAAAAACATATCTATGAAGTTTATATTTTGAATTTGCCGTTTTTAGTAAGAAATGATTGAAAAATAATTGAAACGCATTAATTTTTTTCGCAAAACAAAGCACCCGTTTCCCATGTTGTTGAGTAAACAGGCGACATCTGTAATGTTACAAAGCTACACGTTTCTTGCACTGTTACCAACATTAGTGAAACAATCACAAATATTTCAAACATTCAGTACATATTCCATACAATTTTCTTAATAAATTGCGTTACCTGACATAATCTTGATACTAGTAAATTTTGTAATACGAATTGCTTATTAAGAATGCCGATGGCCTTGTAGAAATTGCTACAATTGAGCTTATTATTTATTATAAAACCTTTTTTTTATATATATTTTGTTAATATAATGTTGTATGTGGGTCATACGTAAGTGCATTATAACAAGTTATATGCTGTGTTACAACATTTAAATCAATGTGTGTCGATTGTCGCTTGGCTAGCGATGCGAACAGTTGTTATAGTGATGTACCGTTACCATAGTCTCATAGTTTTATCGATATCTTGATTATTTAGCAATGTTACATTGAATGAAAAATGCATCTATATGCAATTGAATATTTCTATGTATCTATCAATAAATGAATTGGAATAAATAGTTTATTTCGCTTAATTTTTAAATCCCATAAAGCTATAAACTTTTGAAATATGTTTTGAACATTCAAACAACATTTTTAGGTGGTAGAGCCTAGCTGTAGTTAATCACTACAGCTCGAACATGAGCTGGCTCGACCGGGGAAGTACCACCCTCTCACAGAAGATCGGCGTGAAGTAGCCTCTAATGGCTGCGTTTCGTCTGATGAGTGAGAGAGCCGGTTGCCCTTTCCCTATTCCCACCCTTTCCTACCATTTCCTTATTCCCACCCCTCCCTATCCCTAAGAAACAAGGTTGGCAACGCATCCGCATCAAGATGTTGCGGATGTCCATGGGCGACGGTAACCACCTTCCATCAAGTGGGCCGTCTGCTCGTTTGCCACCTTTCACATAAAAAAAAAAAACATTCTAATCTTTAAATTCTTAACAATAAGTAAAGTTTTAAGTGTTTTAGATTAACTTTAAATAGGTGAAGACATAAACCATTACATAACAAATATAAAAGCATCTTATCTGCCCGTAACAATGTTTGCTGCAAAGTAACCGAAACGTCAGGAATACGTAGTTTAAGATAAGAAAAGACGCGTAATAGAACTAAAAATATCAGTTTTATATAAATATAAAATAAATATCGATTATACAAGTTAAAAAGACATCACTAGCTGCACCTGCAAGCCGTTGCAGCCTCTCAGACCTACAATGGCTTATAAACGCGAGTCCTGACCTCGCTGTGTAATATTTAGCGATAATTATGAATAGATATATAATTTGAAAAACAAAGCAGACATACTAGTCCTATTAACATATGTATGTATGAATACTTGTTCACTTGTAAGCAACAAGAGATACAAATTTTATGGGGCTTTTAGACTTTGTTTGCATACCTATAAAGGTCAAAAAGCAGGAAGATTCTAATACATTTAGTTTGAACTATTGCTTAACGGAGGTGACGACAAGTAACCACAGTGACATAACATGGATATAACCACAAGGGAATATAAGTGTTAGACTGTCACTTTTGTTATGCGTACATGTCATTTATGGTGATGAGTCACTGGCTGCTATTACTCCTAAAGAAATAAAAATATATATTTATATATAGGTATGTTAAATTATTGCCAGAGAAGAAAATAATGATGTCCAAAATTTTATAAGATTTGAATTAATATTATTCCAATGTAAATGTTTGTTTAAATGAGATTATAGTTGAACTTTGGGAGGGATTTTTGCGTCGTTTTGGGACCTACAAAAATAACATTAAAAAATGTGATTTATTTTTATTGTATAGCGTTCTTTGAAAAACAAAATATATTTCAAATTAATACTTTAATATTCCTAATTTTATAACAGTATAGACTCTTAGATGAACTTAAAGAAAACAATACTATAAATATGAATAGCAACTAAAAGGTGTAAAGAAACCATAAAGTAAAATAGGATTATTAATCTCAGTCAGTTTATTCTTCATGTATTAAGTTTAAGTATGCTAATCATTATAAGTATACGGAAAAACTAAACCCGCTGACTTCAACAGCCAACAATGCTCGTTCCTATGTAATCAGTAATCAGTAAATCTACATGGGCGTGCTTTATCGCACGACCGTTCATTTATTCGGTCACGTGTTTTAAATCTACCAGCAATTATTACCGTATATATCCTGCCTTATTTCAATATTCCTCTTCAATGCCTACTCGATGAGTCTTAAAAGTGATTCATTTTGATTTCATTCATTGATGTTTTTTCTGTGACATAATTTACAATGTAAATGTTTTGATATTCTTCTTATATGGAAAATAAACAAAGTCGATTCAATTTTTGTTGTGACTTAATCGATTTCAAATGAAAGCTGAAAGCTACAAAACATCGCTTAAATTAAACGTTTTATAACATGTAAATATCTTAAATTGATATAAAGCTATCAATGAGATTGTAAATTATTTCCTAACAGAGATATTTCAGTGGGCGCGGATGCATAGTTTGTGCCCAACATCGGCCTACAGTATACTATGTAAATGTCTTGCTTAAAACCATTGTACCTACAACCTTGTCCTGACATGATTATTGCATTAATTCACATCATTATATGAAACGGAATGTAATCTCATTACCATAGTTTGAATGAAGTTAAATAATAATATATTACAAATCTATAATGTCTTAATATAATAAGTTTTTTATACAATAACACATCGTAAAATATACTTCGACAATTTCTTATGTCATTTTTAAACCTTTTTTCTTATGTATATAATATAACCTATCTAATTTTATTATGTATTTTTAAAATGTTCTAGAATCTTCTTTAAACAGTTACAATTTGACATGACAATTATCAAAGAAGTAAACAGTTCTTGAAATAACAAAAAAAGAACTACCTTAAACAATTTCATAAAGAACATGCCAAATACAGAAATAAAAGAATTTATGAACGAATCCATAATATTAAGTATAAATCATGTGAAGGCTGTGTATATACAATAATTACTAGCAACCTGTCAACTAAATGCCGGAAACTGGTCGTTTGTCACGCCACGAACCATACTATAGAGGGTTTCTGGTTCCTTTCGATGGTTGGATTTATGATTAGCGTAATAACTTATTTCATATTGATAAACATATATGTATATTTTTTTATTTTTACGGCTCTGAATACGAGTCCTTTTGAGCCTCTTGATAAACTTATTACAGTCAGTATTGCCAGTTATAGTTTTCATTCAAGAAACGTATGTCATATTCTAATTAATAAATGTTTCAGTGTTGCCATACGTAAACGTGAGGTAGTACAAAAATTTAAATGTTATAAAAAAAATAAGTTTATATTTGCAGAATAATAATTGAAGTATATTTATAATAATAGTTCTAATCTAATCGATATGTACATAGTTTAATAAATCCTCTTTGTTGCTAGATTAGGTCACATTTAAACATAATAAATACATTTAATTATGTAGCAATTTTAGAGCGATACATTAATTTTATACAATACAGATTATCAAACACATAATGTTATGACGAACAAAGAAACCTAGCCTTGTATCGGTTCTACAACGCTTATGAAATACGCATGCAACCGAAATTTACATATGCTTATAATCTATTATCTACTTTGAGTACACCTCAGGCCAAATAAATTGGACCAATACTGAATCTGTAATATTAATTAATACTCGATAATCTATTAAAAGTATTGCTTTGAGCTATAATTACACATAAGATTTAAGTTCCTTTATTTGAACGTGTTAATTTTTTTGATTGGCTCATTATTTTTTGTTTACTATTAAAGCTACATATTTCAATATTTTTCTGGTGTTATTTTGATATTATACAGAACAAATGAATAGATACAGATAAATGTTTGAATATCTCTATTTTAATACAATAAAATAAAAAGAAATCTTCACAATTATTATTCTCGAGTCTTTAGTTTAAATTCGTCCTCTGGCGTAGTTTTTTCTGCATCTCGGAAGTTACTGAGGTCATCATATGATCATATATGTATGCATAGTTTCATACCCATAAATTTATGCTTTAAATATTTTGAACAATATTAAGAGATAGTTTTTATATATATATATATATATATATATATATATATATATATATATATATATATATATATATATATATCTTTCTTCTACCTGGCAACTTCCCAGCTTTAGTCAGGGTCTGCCTTACATGTTGTGAATAGTTTTGGCTAATTGTTTTTACGACGGGTCGCCTGCCTGACATCAACCCTCTTTTCGAATGCATTAACCAGTGATGTCTAAATACTCTTAGTAAGTACATATGACTCGGAAAAATCACATTGGTACTTGCCCAGGCCAAGATCGAACCCGCGCCAAAATGCATGAAAGGCGGGCCTTTTAAGTACTAAGCCACTACTGACTTTAATATATATATCTTTATTCTAATATCATTATTATAGCATATCTATATATATTATTAACTAACAATGGGTCATATCTCTTGATAGTAATGAGATACAATCCTTCAAAGATATTGACACTAACACAATACAACATTGAACAGATAAAGGCATTTACAATTATATTTTTTTATGGTAATGTATCGTAACATTTGGTATTATGATTTGAAATGTATGACAATATTTGTTTTAATTTCAATGATACACAAATTTGAACTGTAACTATTGCTTGATACAGTTCATTATTGCTTAATGATTTTTTGCTTCATATCTTACATAGATGCTTAGTAAAGATTAACCACAATATAAACGTAACGAGCCTAGCGGCATTCCATCGAGGGTCCAAAATCCCACGTGGATAATAATTAATAAGCTACAATAGTGCAATACATGTCCTTAGTGATAAATTCAAATATCACATGCTAATTACTTATTGAGTAAGATGCAACTTTCTATTCAAAGACATTATCTGACCTCGAAAACCTGAAGTAGCTAAAACCTATTTGTAACCGTCTTTTGTTTTTGTTACCGAATTTCTAACTCTTCATAAAACAGTGCTTAAAAATGATCTCAATTATTTTCACAACTACTTATAGTTCCTGTTTTAATAAAGCTAACAACTTCTATAGAATTGTTTATTAATTTCAAGAACTAGATATATTTTTCAGAATACTTTTACAACTATAACTATGTACATAACAAGTACAAGTCACTGGTGGCCTAGTGGTTAAGAGGCCCGCCTCTCATCTCTCAAAGTGATTTTTCCGAGTCATATGTATTTTATAAGAGTATTTAGACATCACTGATTAAGGCATTCCCAAAGAGGGTTGATGTCAGGCAGGCGGCCGGTCGTAAAAACAATTAGCCAAAACTATTCACAACATGTAAGGCAGACCTTGGCTAAAGCTGAGGAATTGCCAGGTAGAAGAAGAACTATGTACATAACAAATGAATTATGGTACAAAAGTAGTATTTATTAGATTTATTACCTTATCTTTGAAACAAAATGTGACTCACACGATATTTGCCTTTTAAGGATAAGAATTTAGATCAAAATTTTAAATTTATCACAATTTAGGAAAATTAGTTTGGCCTTTCGTGAATTGTATTACTTAACATTTGAAATGAATATATTATTAAAAAGGTTACTTTGGGATAGATCATAAATAATACTTCATAAATATTCCTAGATACTTTATACGTGCAGATATTTTGAAAAAATAAAATAAGTTTTTTTCTATTCTTTTCACAAATGAATGTCGTCTAATAGAATTTCTATAAAAATATTAATTTTATTAATTAAAACTTAATATTATATTGCACTAATGAAATTCGTGTTAATTTATCTTCGGTTTTTCAACAAAAAATACATCAGTTATTATATTTGAGGCATCACATCCAATTAAAATTTTCTGTAAAAAATAATATATATATATAAAATATATATAAAACCGTAATTAAATATTGAATATTCGAGCGATTTATCTAAACACATTAACATACAAAATAAACAACTAATGGTTGTCAATTTCAATTATATATCTACTAACCTGTTTTGAACTCTATTGTCTTTATAATAGAGTTCTTATAAGTAGATTGATATTGAGAATAATAAATTGAAAGATCTCCGTTGTTCTAAGTATCTAATGGAATAATATCTATCTCCTTGAACTATAGGTAATGGCTAAAATCCTTGCATCACATGCAAATTGTTTTATAAATAACATTGTAGAACATTTATTGAACCTACCGTGTGAACCTATAACATAAATAATAATTATTTTTTGTTGATGTGTTTAATATAAAACAGTTATTAACCAGTGAATGTTATAAAGCAATGAGTTTAAAGAAAATTTGTAATAATGAACATTTGTATGTATGTACATATATTATATACTAAGTTCACTAATCGTGCTATTTCTTTAAATAATTTATATGGGAACGTTAAGTTTTTCTTTTTCAATAATTTTTTTACATTTATCTAACCTTTTGAAATAAAACTTTATTTAGAATCGAAAACATCAGGGTAAAATCTCATCGTAATATAAAATCTAAAATTCTTCTTATATATTCTCTTAGTTTTTTTTTTGTTTGATAATAGAAAAATTAAACCCATGTTAATAATCATCATCAGCCTATCACAGCCCACTGCTGAGCAAATGCCTCTTCTCACAAGGAGAAGTTTTGAGCATTGGTCACCACGCTTGCTCAAGACGGGTTTGCGATTTCAAACTTTTAATTTGAAATTATAAGTCCAGGTTTCCTCACGATGTTTTCCTTCACCGTCTGTCAGTGCTGCCTAAATACTCTTAGAACGTACATATGACTAGGAAAAATCACATTGGTACTTGCCAGGATCGAACTCGCGCCCTCATGCACGAGAGGCAGGACTTTAACCTATAAACCACTACGTCGAATACATATTAATATATATTTATATAAGCTAAAATTCCATTCCTCTTTTTGGTAATTCCGCCATCAGTGTAAATATTAAAAGCCAAAATCGATATTTTCAATCGATATACTTTTAGGGCGAAAAAAATATCAGTGGTACTTTCAATTTCATTTCAACACAAATTAATTACACATTAACATGCCCAGATCAGAATGTGGTCGCAAGGAAATGTCCATATAGATTTGAGGCCAAACACTAAAATGGCGAACGGAATGACCAAAAATGAACAAATATTTCATTTAAAATATGTCGGTGTATGCAGAACAGGTCAATGAAACAAATAAGAACATAAATAAGACGACTTTTAAAATAATTTTAATTATTAAATATACATGTACGTAAAATATATTATTTGGGAAAAATTACACGAGAAGCATATATTTAAGCACAAGTTATATACCCTAATCTACCTGGCAATTTCCCAGCTTTAGCCAGGGCCTGCCTTACATATTGTGAATAGTTTTGGCTAATTGTTTTTACGACCGGCCGCCTGCCTGACATCAACCCTCTTTAGGAAACGTTATGTACCCTAATATACAGATAATTCTCGTAGAAGTCTGCAGAATATTTCTTTTATTATGTTGTTATTTTTAGATTCCTATTTAATTTATTATATATCAAGTTCCGTTATAAAACTGTCCTTAAAATTATCACATAACGGCTTATTAATTTCATC